CGTATCTTGGCATTTTAAATGCTTTTATGCACAGAGTAGCATTCAGCTGTTTTAACCCGCTAAGAGAAAGGAAAAGGAAACAGCATGCTTAGAGAACATGCCTGACGCTAAGCTGGCAATCACATCCCACTGCCTGGATGCCCACTGCTTCCAGCTGAACCAAGGCAATAGCTGCACGCATGGAAACAATTCAGTTCTCGGCATTTCATTTCTCCTTGCCACCCCTCACTGTTCTCATCAGGATTCCTCCCTCATACTCTTCTGCTGGGGTTTTAACCCTCCAATATGTATCAGTAAGAAGCATCTCAAGGAAGTACATAAGTACAAATAACTTATCAGGCTGCTTTCTGCAACTCCTTTAGGGTCCCTTCCACTGCTCCCAGTTAATGCCATCTACAAAATCCAAAACGCAAGAGGCCAGACAGCTGGTTTGAGACGCTGTGCTGCTTCCACCCCACTCAAATTCCACTGCTGAGCAGACACAGCCCTTGGCAACATGACGCAGTGTGGCACTGAACTCGACAGTCCGAGCAGAAGACAACTTATCCCTGACATTTAAAGCCAAAAACCGGAGGTGAAATATGACTTAAAAGGCAAATGGCAGGAGATTCTCCTCCAGTAAGACTGCTACAAAATGCTATTATACACTAAAATCGAAGCATTAAGCAAGGGAGAGAGGGAAAAGAGGCTTTAAAAAAAGTTTGGGTACCTGAGACTGGGGAATGTTTGTAGAAGCAGGGTCTCACAAGCGGACAGTTACTCTGCAGAGGATCGCGTTACCCAAGCAGCACCGATCGGGACTCGCTGGGTCTCTGGGAGTCCTACCAATACCAAGCCGGTCCGCGCAGAACAAATAAATGCGGAGAGAAAGCATCAGCACAGCATCCACCTCCAACTGAAGCGAGCGGAGCAGGGGCAAGCAAACAGCCAGGAAGCCTGGGCTGCTATCACGTATCAGATACCCGAGCCAAGAGAGGCACGGGGCACCTTGTAACGCAACGCTGTAATATGATTATGTAAGCGCGATACCTACGCTGTGCGGGAACCTTCTGAGGAAGTGCAAATATAGCAAGAGAAGCCTTGTCACAGGTATTTAGCTGTCATCTCGCTCCCCGTTCTGACCTCGCCTGCTAAACTGGGAACTCCGGCAGCACTGCAGGAAGGGGTCAGAGAGTGGGGCAGGAAAAAGCCTCAGAACAGCCCAGAGCCACCCTCAGCCTGGAAACGGAGTCGCCAGCAGCGGGGTGGCACAAGCTGTCCTTGCACAGCCTTAACCATGCTGCTTGGCCCGTGCTGTTCCTCCAGCAGCTGCAGTACCGAACTGCCCCAGGTTTACCACCCCATGCTTCTCCAGCCGAGGGAGGTCTGAGCAAAGGGGTCAGTGAAAATTACACCCCAAAAAATAATGGAAGAAAGACAGCTGATAACTCATGCCTGCCCTAGAAGCCTTCCATACCTTGGGAAAGGTGCACTGGCAGACCTCCTATGCTCTCTCCTCAAAACAGAGCTGTGAGACAGTCATGCTGCTTCTCAAAGCAGGAGGGACTCTAGCTATAACTCCTGGAGAAAAAATAAATAAATAAAAAGGCAATGAAAGTGTGGAAGTTTGCCACCCTGTGCACAGGGATACAGGTAGATGATTAGCAGTGAAAATGACATAAGATTTTCAGGTGCTCCCAGTGGGTAGCTGAGTCAGACTCGCTAAAGACACGCTTCTTCCTAGAGCTTTTAGATCTGAAAGGAAGAAGTGTTTTAAAAGTCATTTTGAGTACTTCACTGAGATGATGAGCAGGTACGTTCAGCCACCTTGCAGAGAAGGCCAAAAAGCAGCTATGCAACTACAGAATACATCTGCTCCTTAAACGTCCATCCTGCCACTCCAGCCTCCCCAGCAGCCCAGGCCACCTGTTCTGTATTTACACCTGGCTAAAAGCACTGTTAGGAAACGGGGCTCAGCTAAATAGCAGTGACTCTGTGAACCACAGCTCCATCACTTCCAACTGTCAGCCCACACCTAGAGGCAGTCCCGTGCCACACACTGGGCAGCACCAAGGAAGATCACGGTCTCAGCCAGCCGAGCCCAGCACAGTTTGGAGAACTCAGGCTGGAGCAGTCAATGCACGGAAACAACGCATCTAACCCACCTTCACCCACCTCAATCAGACATTTGTAGTGTCTCTAGTGCTTCAGATATCGCCCACCTGGACTCACAGGACAGCGGCAGCGACCCCACTTCCCAGAGCATCCCGTGACACTGTGACAGCGATGCCAGCAGCACGGGGACTCGGCAGCCTGGGGCTCCCCGCAGAGCCCAGCTGGCCCACATGCCCCTTTCGCTACAGCCCATGCAGCAATTCACAGATGAACCAAACCCTAGAAGGCAGCGAGTTAATTATAAGCTTGAGATGCACCAGCTGGCACTGCACCAGGGGAAGGAAGGCACGGATGGGAAGGACACAGCCCCTGACTGCACACACATTTCCCTGCTGTAACTGTGGCAGCGTTTCGGGGAAAAGGTGAGTTTGGAACATAGCACGCGAAGCCATCGCTACGAGTTAAGCTGAGCCTGAAGACTGGGAGGGCTCCCATGAGGAACACGCACCACAACACACGCAGCTGAGGGAGGAGAGGCAGCGCCATAAGCTGCGTGCTTCCACTTTATTTAGAATCATCCACTGTGCACCTGAGGGATTTTCCATATGCTTAACTTTTATTCTGTTATTTGCAAGGGAAGCATACGTGACAGAGTATGGCCAAATGGTTGGCTGGAAATGACAAACTGGGTTTATATATTAAATATATGTAAAGCCCCGAATCAAGCCCCCGACCCCTGCTTCTCACCAAGGCTACTACGAGGTCATTCAGCTCCTGCCACATTAGGACCGCCTGTTGGATGCTGAAACTCAGCAGCCAGGGACTTCACTAACTTCTCCCACCCATGGTGGCTTCTTTTCGATGGAGAACAACTCAGCAGGGTTGTTGTGGTTGTTTAGGTTTTTTTTTTGTGTGTGTGTTGTTTTTCTCGTTGTTGTTGAGGGTTTTGTTTGTTCGCTTTGAAAAAAACCCTGCTGAAAATAGCAAGGCTTCCAGACTTCCTCAAATTGTACTCTGACATGCGAAAGGCAGCCGCAGCACCCAGCTGAGCTGACATTTAGGGTTAGAGAAGCGGGACCCGGCGGGGCTGTAGCCTTTTACCCCCCTGCTTCTCGAGCAACACGGCGAGGAAGGCGTGCGTGACACCTCAGTGCCTTGGCTGCCCCTCGCTTCGCTGGGTGCTGTCACCGCACCTTGTGCCACAGCGGCTGTGACACGGGACGGCAGCAAGCTGCAGGATGGCTGTGGGAGCTCTTTGGTGTAAGAGTAAGTCCTGTCCTTTGCAGCTTGATCCAGGGGAGCAGAACACGGAGCTGTGCCCCGGTACGCTTCCACTGCCGGCACCTCCTCCCCCCCCAGCCCCAGCCCCAGCCCCAGCCCCAGCCCCAGCCCCAGCGGCCGCCCGGCATCGGCATCGCCCCCGCTTACCGGCGGTCCCCCGGCGGCTGCGTCCCGGCGCTGCCCGCAGCGCTACCGGCCCCGGCTGGCGGCGGCCTCCCGGCCCCTCGGGGCGGCTCCGGAGCCCCGGGGGGGCGGGCGGGGCAGGGCCGGCATCTTGAGGCGGGGCGGGGCGGGCGGCTCCGGGGCTGCCTCCCACCCGCGGGCGGCTGCGGCCCCGCTCCCCGCCCGGCGCCGGCACCGAGGGACCGAGCGCGGCCGCGCCCCGGCCCCCGCCTCCCCCTTACGGCCCCGCCCCGCCGCACGGCGCCGCAGAGCGCTGTCCATTGTGCTGTGCCCCGCCCCGCCCGTTCGGCCCCGCCCGTTCGGCCCCGCCCGTTCGGCCCCGCCCGTTCGGCCCCGCCCGTTCGGCCCCGCCCGTTCGGCCCCGCCCGTTCGGCCCCGCCCGTTCGGCCCCGCCCGTTCGGCCCCGCCCGTTCGGCCCCGCCCGTTCGGCCCCGCCCGTTCGGCCCCGCCCCTCGCCGTGTACCCTGGGTTTCTCTTCCCCTCACGCCCCGTTAAGGCTTGGGGCTGTGCGGTGCCCAGTGAGGGGTGTGTGCAGGGAGCCTGCCCTGAGCTGCACGCCACGGGCTGTACGGTCCCGGTGCTGTGGGGGTGTTTGTAGCCACAGGGCTGTGTGCTCAGAGCTAACATCCCCAGGGCTGGTTTCGCCCTGAGTTAATGGTGCTCAGACAAGTGCCCGTGGGCTCCGTTCCCACCTCCCAGCCTCTTTTCCTCAGTCATTGTGCCCGAGGAGGCGTTCTGCCATGGCCCCTGGGGAGGCTGCACACAGTGAGCGCCAGGGGATTTTTGCGCCAGGGGAGTTTTAGGTTAGATGTTAGGAAGAACTTCTTTACTGAAAGGGTTGTGAGGCATTGGAACAGGCTGCCCAGGGAAGTGGTGGAGTCACCATCCCTGGAGGTCTTCAAAAGACGTTTAGATGTAGAGCTTAGGGATATGGTTTAGTGGGGACTGTTAGTGTTAGGTCAGAGGTTGGACTCGATGATCTTGAGGTCTCTTCCAACCTAGAAATTCTGTGATTCTGTGAGGGGCACCACGTACTGGGGTGCCTGAGGCACGGCACAGCGAGCAGGTCACAGGGGGGCTTGTCCTGCTCTGCTCTGCCTGGTGTGGCCTCACCTCGAGCACTGTGTGCAGGGTTGGGCTCCATGATGTGGGAGGGATGTAAAACTGTTAGAGAGTGTCCAAAGGAGGGCTACAAAGATGGTGAAGGGCCTACAGAGCAAGACCTGTGAGGGGAGGCTGAGGTCCCTGGGTTTGTTCGGCCCAGAGCAGAGCAGGCCGAGGGGAGGCCTCATGGCGGCCTGCAGCTCCCTCACCAGGGGAGCGGAGGGGCAGGCGCTGAGCTCTGCTCTCTGGGGACAGCGACAGGACCCGAGGGGACGGCATGGAGCTGGGACAGGGGAGGGTCAGGCTGGGGGTTAGGGAAAGGTTCTGCACCCAGAGGTGCTCAGGCACTGGGACAGGCTCTCCAGGTCACAGCACTGAGCTGCTGGAGTTCAAGAAGCATTTGGATAGCAGTGTCAAACATTGGGTCTAGTTTTTGGGTGGTCCTGTGTGGAGCCAGGAGTTGGACTCGATGATCCCTGCGTGTCCCTTCCAACTTGGTGCCACGCTGGGGTGGCAGCAGCAGCTGCTGAGCAGGCACATGGTCCTGGAGCAGGAGTGCAGGGCACCAAGAAGTGGAGGAGAGGATGTGGGAGACCATCCCAGGAATGTTTTGCACCTTCAGAAACCTCCTTTCAAGATCTCCCAAGGGACCAGCTGACACTTTGCAGATGTTACTAAAAACATCTCATCACATGTTTCTTTTCCTGCCTCCTTATCACTTCTAGCTGTAGAGCATCCCCTTATCTGGGCAGGCATTTCAGGAAGCTGCAGACCTATTTCTGATCAGTAATGTTTCCTGAAGCATTCTACTGTCTCAAGCTGGGGGGACCAGCCTGACACTGTTCTGTAAACAAAGATCCCACAGAGCCCTCAAATGGCAGAAGGCTCTGAAAGCTGCAGCCAGAGCAGCCAGCATCTCCTAGGGGCCTGTGCAAAAGGTCTGGGCATTGAAAGCCACAAAAGTCTTGGATAATTTTATAAAGTTATCCAAGACCTGTGACATCTACCTTCACTTTATGCTTTCATAAAGCTTTCCCATTCAGGATGTCACATGTTCAGAGAAATGGTATTCCTCTTCCACCTCTATTACTGTCAAATTTCCTTAGAGAAAACAGAGGAAACAAACAAACAAACAAAAACAAAAACCACAGACAAGTAACCAAACAAAAAAACTCCATTATTTCCACCCTCTTTCTACAACACCCCTGCCCATTGCTACTTCGTGGCTTAATAGCAGGGCGTGTATGTTCTAGCCATAAAAACAGGTCAAGATTTCGGAGAGTAACTTCCTGCCCTCTCCCCTGCTGGGCAGCCTTAACTAGAATTCTGTTTTTCCAATATGTGTTTGTCTCCTGGTGCCAGAAGGTCACCTTGGCATTTTGCAGTTTTGGTAGGCTACCTTTCTTCCAACATAGAGGCAAATCTCTGTTGGCATTCCTAAGTGCCCCGAAGCCTCCGCATCCCAGCTTGCCACCCTTTTACCTGCAGGTACGGGCTGTCTGCCTCAAGGGCTGGCATTCAGCCCTCAGCATTTCTCATGGGAGCTGTTCAGATAGAAGTTCTCACCCTCCAGCAGCCCAGCCCTGCCAGTCTCTGCGGTTAGAAATAAGAATGTCCCCCAGGAAGGACGTCTGGTCTGTAGATACCGTTCAGCCTCCACTTCTGCCATTACCGAGAGCTTTTCACTGCAAATTCTCTCTTCCTCTAAACTTCCCTGCCTCATCTGTGGGAGTAAGTTGGAAAAAAAAAAAAAACTCAGCAGAAATTCAAATGAGGAGGTGCATTGTGTGAGGAAAAGAAGAATTTGCAGGGATTGTTTGTGGTATTGTTATTCCTATTTACTTTATTATGAAAGCAGCTGGTCTCTGAAGGAGCTGCAAAGGAGGTTTATGGCAGTGGTCTGCCTGGGAGGGGCTGGCTTAGACCACGGGTTACGTGCAGGAGAAAGATCATAAAAAAGTGGCATATGACAGACAGCCCAGCCCTTTCTGCACTGACGCACTAAGTCGCTTTCTAGCCCTCATTCACATGTGTTTAACAACCCTTAGAAAATCAGCATTGTTTAAACATTAAAGTGTCTCTTTAAAAATTCAGCAGCAAAGTTCACCTGTTTTTTAGAGCCATATTTACAGCAGCAGTGGAAGTGCATCTCCCCTCTCTAGGAACTGGGCTTCTGTCCAGCCCGTGTCACTGAGTGGAGTGAAAGAGGAGGCTCAGCAGCCTCCAGTGCATCGGGCACCACCACGGCAGCCTCCCCAGCGGTGCTCAGAGCCAGCCTTCACCTTGCTGTGGGAAGCACATCTCTGCAGAGAATGTCTTTCAGCACTTAGCCTGGCTCTGTTTCACAAAAAACCAAGCAGAACTTGGGGCTGTTGTTTTCAGAGTCAGCAGAAGTTAACGTCTTGAGGCTTTATACACTAAAAGCACAGATCAGCAGGACATCATAGCACACCAGTTTCCAGATCCTTTTGTGCCACAGGGTCAAGCCCCATATTCTGTGGGGCCCTAGGGCTTTGCCTTCCTTATGCCACTCACATAAGCTGATGCTGCCAGCCCCATTTCTGTCTGGTGCAAAACTGGGATGAAATGTGCTGCCCAAGGTCATGCAGTGAGGTGGCAGAGATCACTGGCAGAGATGAAACAGGAGATCTAATGAGCTCCAGTCCAGCACATCGTACAGCAGATTCAGTTACCTTACCCATCAGACTGCAGATAAACGGTGTACTAATGGCTCTCAGCTACATTCACCTTTCAAGATAGTGCCTGGGTGGCCAGCTGCCCAACCTCCCCTTTTTCTGTAGCTGTTAAAATAGATGGTCAGATCTAGTTTGGGCTTATTTCGTTAGGGAACAAGGGCTCCCAACTGCTGGCCCACCCATGGGTAAGAACTGAACTTCTGCTTAACATAAGAAAAATGCAAAATAAAACCATCACATCAGGGATATTTAACACCCAGAGCTTCCAGGCTAACAGCTGACCCCACTGATATTCTTTAGGTCCATCTTTATGAGTTTATACACTTGCAGTGTATTGAACGCAGTCTGTTAGGTCTATGTACAGGGACAGCTTGCATTTCCCCTACTGGTTTATAAAATACTTGCCAGTTTACATTTAACCACTCAGTAAGATCTGATACCATGCAGGAATCGGTTTTATCAGTACTCCTCGTCCTCCTCACTGTTCGGTCATTCTGGTGTCCTCTTCCACAGATACAGCACTCTGTGACTGCAGCAGATCTGCAGAACCTTACAAGCAAGTTATAATATTGCAAATGAAGAAAGAATTCAGCTTTCTAAGGGTACCAGACAAGTCCTATGTAAATAAGACGAATCCTGTTTAAATGACACATTCTGTGACTTCCCTTCCTGTGCTTTGTTCCTTTCCATGTTTGCTTTTTGCCTCTTGGTAGCTCTGTGAAGAGGTGTCACCCCGCTACTTGCTGAGTTCTGCCTGATCACACTTGCCTAGGAGTAAAGCATGACACAGGTTTGTTATTCTGGGTCACCGAAATCAGCATCACCTCCAGGAGCACAGCTCTCGTCACATCTTAGCTTTCAGCATTTCTCTGAAAAGGTAGCAGTTAGCAACAACGCTATTAATAGGAGTTTGGAAAGATTTCTGTGCTTGAAGCAATGGCAAAAGGAACGTGGTGAGTTCAAAGGAAATAATGGAAAGCAGCTAAACAGTATGGCTGCTTTGCCAAGCACACTCGATGCCAGGATCTCTAGTGGCCGATAGGAACATGGGTGGCTTCTTTTCCAAAGAGATTGCCAGTAGGCTGTGGACACAGGATTATCTGGGCTTTGTAAAAGGTTAATATCTTCACAGCTCTTTTGCTAGCAGACAGCTGAGGATACACAAAATGCCCTGGGTCAGCTTCACGCTGTTCCCAACCTTTGCCATGTGTGAGCATCAACTGCATTATGTTTGGGCTTGGTCAGGCTTACCTCTGCAAGGCCAAAATCAGCACAAAAATTTTATACAAAATCTTCTTTCTTGGGTGATTAAAACATGAATCACTTGACTATGGAAGGAGCATCAAGTACATTCTCTTTCAGACCACAAAACTAATCCCTGCTGGGACAGGACTGTTCCCACCGGGCTGGGCGGTTCCAGCCCTCAGCTCAATACTCATATTTTGAGAAAATCCCATGATCATTGGGATCAGTAGCAAAATTCCTGTTGAGCTCCACAAAACTAAGGTTAGGCCTAAATAACTCTGTTTTTCCCATAACTTGCTTCTTTCCCACTAGGTTTCTCAGGTGCCGTTGGGTGTATGTAATGACACAACACAGCTGAAGACCTGCTACTTCCGAAAATCTTGTTTGTGCTGTGCTCTGGCACGCATGGTGAGCAGTGGCTGGAGACATCACCCTGGAACGGAGCCTCCAGCCAAACTTTTGCAGCTTTTGAAGACATGTTGCTATCAGCAGATCGGTATCTGCCACACAAACCCCAGGGGAACTGGAGATGCTTTTCCAGAGACAGGGTAGACCAAACTGGTGAGACTGGGTTTGGCTCTGTGCACCTCTTACCTGTCTTCTTGCAGCTTTGCCCTACCTGTAGAACATGGGATGAGAACAAGGCCGTAGGGGCTGAACGCACAGGTAACACCAGTAATCGCTACCGTTCCACTGAAAAAGAGCACTGGGGAACAAGCTATTAACCACAGGCTATCCTAAAAGATTCATATCCTTTAAAAACATCTCCTTCCTGGGAATATTCTTGTGAATGGTCCAAAGAATTATGTTCCTAATTTTAAAAGACGTCCTATAATTTATTTTCTGAAGCATTTCTTCAAAAGATTTAATAAATCATGAGCCATTATATCAAATTTGACCAAAATTCAGACTAGTTAGTTATGTGACTGTGAGATTCCATCACACAGGTAATGTTTTAGCAGTGAGGTGATAAGAGTATAGTAGATATTAACATTTTAGGCTATAAAGGACCCACATGCCTTGAACTCCCACAAAGGAAAGCTGAAGTAATTGTAAAGAGTCCTGTGTAAGAGCTAGAATGCATCCCATTTTCCTGCAACTTCTAAATGCACTTTGCTGTCAGCTGCCAGAGTAAGAGGGAATTAGAAATGGGTATTCCGCTCGGAGGCACTGGACACAGGGACTGCAATCAGAACCCAGCTCAGAAAGCCAACACCTTGCAAGCAGTGTGATCATTTTATTTGCCAGACCTTGTGTTTGCCTCAGATCTCTACCGCATTCTTTGCTAACCACATACAAGCTTGCATCGCACGTATCTAATTTCCAAGTGACGCCGTGGGCCGTTCCTGAAGTCTGTTCACTGTGTCCTCTCCGGCGCTGCGGGGAGCGCTCGGTGTTCGGCAGAATGTGGGCACCAGTAGCACGCAGCCGTCTCCAGCAGCTAGCTGGGACGCTGCTTTCCAGTTCAAGCATTGCAGCTGGGATAAGCTATACAAAAAGAATGAAAAGAGAAGTACCTATCCCGAGACAGCTAGGACACTACAGATTAAGCTGCTCTGATTACAGTCACTAAACGTACTTTGGTTTTTCGTATGAAATACCAAAAGGAATCTGAGTCCCTTGGGTAAGTCCATGCTCCTCTTACTACCCAGGATCCAAGCTCTAAAAGGCTGCCAGTGAAATCCAGGCCTGTGTAACCTCTTGAGAATATTTTTTTTCTATAAAGCTGCAAAACCAAGAGCAAATAGCCTTGTACAATAGCTCAGAGGTAGACGCGCAGGGGAGGATGCTGAAAAAGTCTTGGGCGGTTAGTCAGGAAGAATCAGTCTTGCATTAGAAAGCTTGTTTCTCTCTCTGCTTTGCCTGGAAGCTGAAGCACCCATTTCGTGTCCTTGCCATGTCCCAGCGCAGCAGCCGCGTTACAAGCGGTCGCAGATCCGAGCACGAGCAGGTCACGGGAGATCTATGTCGGCTTCTCAGGCAGCTCCTTGGTGGGACTCGGTGACTGTGGCTGGTCAGCCTTGTTCTGGCTCGGAGGGGGGGGCCACGTGGTCTTCTGATGAAGATGGCTGGAACAGAAACGTATGCTTCTGTAAATTGGGGGAGGGATACAGAAGATAACATGAAGACAAGACTCGTAATTGAGTAGAGAAGAGAGATGGCCATGGATCTCTCATGGCTCTTTGATTGTATTGGCTGTCTGTTTTGCCTGAAAATGCTTTTCCTGACTTGAAATGAAGGCTTGCAAATGTCTGCTTTATAGCTAACAAACCCTGCCTGCAGAGTCTAAGGTTCAGTTAAGGCAATCAGCTAAGACAGTGGTCAGGCCTCACAGGTATACTCTTTCAGCAGGTATTTTCAGGGCATGGCTCTGTTAAACATAATTCACTTAAGAGGTTTCAGAAACAATCTTAGAAGACTGGAGACCCAAACAGAGCCATGCTTGTCCCACTCTCCTGGGCTTGGATCTCATGGCATCCTAACACCATGACAAAAAAGTCTGAACACATTCACTGAGGATTTTTCCCATGCTGAGAACTTGAAAAGTCTTGAAAAGTGCCAGTTAGACAAGCCACAGAACCATAAATTCCCATCTGGCCTGAATAAAAAAAAATCACACTTTAGAAAACAAAACAAAGATCCACAAATTCACACTGTACTTCATTGTGCTGGGCAGGAAGGCTCTTGCTGTCTAGGAAATGACTTCTTTCTCTGACATGACCATCTGGAGGCTTGGACTAGATTATCTGGTTAAAGGTTGTCAAGCAAAAGAATTTGATTAAAAAATAAAAATAAAAAAAAAACACACAGGAATTCTTATTGTGTCAAAATTACAGAGCAAGACAGTTTTGACACCTACTCCTTGTAATTTGGGATTCCTTCAGCAGGCAGGCACTGGTCCCTGTCACATGGCGAAGCTGCAAATGTAAGCACACAACCAAGTGAAGGGTTAGAAAACACACCCAGTGCAAGTATCACAGCTACATTATGATAACACGCATTTAAATAATGCAGACACACTGGAAATGCTGACCCATTCATCTATTAGGTTTAATCCTTTTAGGCTACAATTATTTTCCTCGTGTCTTGTGCTCTGAGAAGTGGCAACGCTGGACTGCAGCGCAGGAAAGGCCACGGCAGTATGTCTGGGTGATAAATAGCATCAAAGAGTAAAGGCTGGGCATATATTAGGGGTTGTACGTTCATCCTGTGATGAGAAGGAGGAGAAGATAAGCTCTTCTTTTGCAGTGAAAGAGACAAGTGGGGTCGAATAACTGCTGCAAGAAACGCTTATGGCTCACAGAATAATCTGAGAATCCCAGACTGGGAGGTTATTCATACTGCCATGGATGCTAGGTGCCTGATTTCCTCCCATCCACAGCCACGGGAGTGGGAGGCTGCCTAGGCTGATGGATTTGTACACCAAGGAGGAAACGGGGAGATTACCATGCCCCTCTGCTCAACTCTGCTGCTCTCATACCTGGATGGTGAATGCAGGTTTGGATCCCCAGTTCAAAGCTATTGAGAAGCTGGATAAGGGCCAGCAAAGGCAGCCCTAGGGCTCATAACCTGCAAGGGGAGCTTGGGGAGGGCTGAGGGAGCCTGGCAAAGAGGAGGCTGAAAGGCAGTCTTGCAGCACCCGCTCCTACTTCAAGGGCAATTACAAAGACGTTGGAGCCAAACTCTTGCTGGCAGTGCAGACAATATAACTGGGGGCAACAGCCTACAGATCGCACCTTGGGGAGTTCAGACTAGACGTTAGGAAAATCTGTTTCTACATGGAGCATAATGCAGCTCAGGAACACATTATCCAGAGAGGCTGTGGATCTCCATCCTTGGAGGCTGTCAAGATGCGGCTGGCTAAAAACCACTGTAGATCTAATCTAGTGTGGGTGATGGTCCTACAGGGAGCAGATTTGACTACTGTTCTCCAGCAGTCCCTTTCGTAGCATTTCTGTGATTCTTTAAAACCATTCCTCTTAGTTTCTCCTGGGTAAATGCCTTTCCTCTGGCCCTTTTGACTCCTTATACCATGAGGCTACTTGTTAGATTCAACTACGAGTCGTATGGGTACATCTCAGCATGAGAGAAATAGGAGGCTCCTTGGGAGGCTTAGCTGGTATAGCAAACAAGTACGGAGGGTGGCGGAAGCTGTAAATAACACTAAGCAAGCATCCTTCAGACTTGCTTGGATTCAGGTTGCTCTAGTTAGTTTAGTGCTTACCGTCCTTGTTGGAGAGGATTGGTGCTAGCAGTTCTTTAGCTTCTGACAGCAAGAGGTCAACAAGATCTGAAGATGGAAGAGATGTATCTGAGACTGCGTCTGTTTTATCCTCTTCTGTTTCACTGTTGACTCTTATAAATATGGAAAGTGCCATCAATACTTCTATCATGGAACGGTCATTGAAAATCCTGGCCAGCTTCTTCTGAAGGATACTCTACGTAAATTCTGTGCATTCAGAGGGGAATTGCATCTCGATCTCACGGCATCACTGAAGAGTCTATTTTAGGCACACTTGCATTGTTGATGTTAGACAGAAATATAAGATATACTATCAAAGTTTTTTGATTGTTTGTTTGTTGTAGAATTTCTATTTCTTTTTATAATTCTTCAAAAATATTTTTTCTTTCATTATCACAGAAATAACCATCTTGGAAACCTAACCATTAAAAAAAATTGTTTTCCCTTACCATCATTCTTAAAAATCAGCATTTTTTAAGAGTCAAGTCATTATCAACAAGACTGTGACTTTTTAACAAATCAACCAATTTTACAAAAACAAACAAAATACCACGAGAGTTCTCACAACAGAGTTCTGATACAGTTTTCGCAAGTGGTAGGAGATAGTTTGAAGGGGAGTCCAAAATCCTGAACTTTATTTCTGTAACCAGTCATGTAGTTAAGAGTCGTGTTAGTTCCTTGCTTACACTATTAGTTTCTTTAACTGCTGACAAACAAGGCCATGGTCCTAAAGCCAAAGACTGACTTCTAGTAGGAAAAGCAGGTGAGTCACAACTCTGCTTCTTTGAAACAGCTTGCTTAGGGGCTCTGCTAACAAGAGCAGCTTAATCAAAGGAGTGCTTCACCTACTCATTCCCCAGAACAGCCTGAAACGGAGGTGAAATGTTCCCAAATACCAATCAACCTGTAGCATCCTGATCATCTTTTCCCAATAGTTTCATTCCCAAAGTGACAGTATTTTTAGAAACTCCAGGCAGGTTATGTGTGAATCACCTTCCCCTGAGAAAGGTCAGGAAAGGAAATGTTCCTGTTTGCAGTTCCCAGAAGCCATCTCCTACCTTTTCTCATCTGGTAAATGACTGGGTGTGCTCAAGACCTTGTGAACGTTCTGCCATAAAAGAAAAAAAAAAAGGGGGGGAGTTTCAAACTTGTAGGAATGAATAATTCCTGAGAACAAACCTCATGGATTTTTGCTGCTGATCAGATTTAATATGACAGTAATCAGCTTCTGCTTATTCATTGCCCTTGAAGCGAATATCTCAAGGCCTTTTGCAACACAGGCAACATGCACAGCCTATGCAAATATACAGACACATCTGAGTTATGCATTTTAATACCAACATTAAAGTATACCAAATGCACCATAAAAATACTCTTCCAAAGAATAGTTTTGCAGGCTACATTTCAGCAACTCCATGGTTTCTGGATTGTACTTGCACACGTAATGTCTCATAATGGTTAGTGAATGCTCAATCACTACTGAGGGGTGTATAAAAAGAAGACATTTTATCCCAGTAGCCAAAATCCTGTGATGTTTGCCCCGGGGACCAAGCCAAATCCATTTGCAAAGTCCAGCCCCAGACTACATACATCCCCAGTGAACACGCCTAGTGCTGCAGGTCTAGAGGCATTTTAATTCTTCCTTCTCTGAGGCAGGGGGCACAGAATCTACACTTCCTTTCTCTCCACTGTTTTCTATTGATCTCAAGATCTCCTGGGACAGGTTAGTAGTAGCTGTAGCAGATACCAGAATCCTAGTGCTTCCCATGCCGGCCAGTTTACTAACTACATAAGCTTTGTACAGGCAATAAAGTGGAAGAACAGACAATTAAAAGGCTAAAGCAATTCTATATGTAATTTTGCAGGAAATCTAGGTGAGGGGAAAGCACTGAAAGAGCAAAACTACTCCTTGAGTTCACATTGGCTGTGCAGAGAAGCAACTGGCCAGCCATACAAAGGGAAGGACAAAATGCACGATTTTGACTGTCGTGTCCAGAGGAGTTCCCGGAGCAGCAAGGAAGGGTCGGTGAGCTGGGGACAGCAGGGCCACAGGGCAAAAGCTGCACCACTCTGTTTACATGGCTCATGGGTAAAGGAACATGCATGAGCTCGTTCCCTGGTTTCTCCTAACCAACAGACAGTGCCTTGTTAGCATGAGAAAGAATAAAAATAAATAAATTTCTTGCTTCTGGACCAGGAAATCAGTTGGACTTGCAAAATCCCTGTTAAGGTAAGAGGCCACAATGCTGCCATCAGCACCAGAGGCAGCTGAGTACATCACCTGCACAAACAGGAGCAGTTTCCTATTGCAGATCTCCAGGCGCTTCCGTGAGACTTCTGATTTCCGTAACTGGCCGTCAGCCAGGGACAACTGTCTTTTCAGTTCCAGGATGTCCTCCTAAGACAGGGCCAGAGAAGAACAGAAAGGAGATGATGACACTCCAGCCTTGGCTTTTGGAAACATCAGCTTATGGCATTTGCTACAAGCAGAAAACCACTGGTCCTCTTGGAATGGCTGGTGGTAATTACACAAATTATAACACATACCCAAAGACTGTGCTGGCCTTGTTGTCATACACTGACAAATAACATATATGCTATGGTCATTTTCACCTTTAAATGAAGGAGATAGAACCCCCAGAAGAAGGGTCAGCAGGGTAGGCTTTTTCCCCTCCCACTGGTCTTTTCTTCGCAGACGCAGGGGTTGCATTACCTCTATTTCAGCCACATGTTTTGCTTTCTTCCCTGCCAGCTGCATCTTCAGTTCTGCAATTTCGGCTTCCAGCAAGTGGATCACTTCCTCGTAGTCCTGCTCTGCGCTGTGAGCCTGCCTCTGCACAACCTCAGCCATCTGCAGCTTGCTGTGCAGCGTTCGGTTCTCGGAGAGGAAGCCCAGGGCTTTCTGGAAGCAGTGAGAAGTTGCGGTGAATGCACCACGTCCCCCTTGGCCGCCGAGCACCAAACCCACCCCGGCAGCCCCTGTGTCCCAGGGGTGGGTCCCAGCTGGAGGCTGGGACACAGGCAGGAAGAGCCCCCACGGCTCAGCCTTTCCAGGTCAGGGATAGCCCGAGGGTGTTGAATTAAAACCAACATCATGAGACACATCCAACAACCAGCTCTGCGCTAACCTGGTTCAGCCGCTGAAGCTCATCTTCCATTGACTTCTTACTGTTTTCCACCTCTTTCAGGAGAGCCTAGGGAAAATATTGTCACCAGATTAGAAGCAACAAGCAACAGGACATCCTCTAGAAGATGCCCTGCTCTTTCAGCTCCTGCCCCCAGAGCAATACAGACAGCAGCAGCCACGTGTGCTCTTGCCCTGTTGCTGCACTTGGTGGGCTGTGACCTGCATGTGTGCGGGGTCCCTGCTGCACCCAACCACAGTGCTGGCAGCTGTGCAGCCAGGTGCTTCAGTCAGCCATGGGCTTGAATTATTTGCATTATAAGGTGTCACAGCTTTAAATGTACTTCCTCAGTCTCAAAAAAAAAAATAGTGGCTGCATACTCTTTAAGTTATAAGCTTTTGGTTGAGCTTGAGAGAAAGCCGGAGGTAAGGAGAGGAGTGGGTGGGAGCCTGCTTGGTGCAGAGGAGACCCCTCAGTAAGGACAGGCCACCCCACAGCCCTCCCATACGACCAGAGAATGCCAGCAGAAGGCACCAGCTGAGGGGTCTGTGGGGAGGAGAGGCTCCACCTTTAGCCGTCGGACTTCTTGCCGCAGGTCCGTCATCTCCAGCTGCAGCTGCTCCAGCTCCTCGCTGCCGTTGCAGCTGAGCGAGTCGAGGGTCTGTGGGGCAGAAGGCAGCAGTTAGCACCACTCGTGTGCTACCAAAACCATGGGGTAGATTGCAGACCTGCTAGATTGCACGTGTTCTGCTTTCCATACCCAGAATAACTATTAATCTTGGTAAAGGTGCTGGCATTTTTAGGATTGGAAGGCACACTGAATAGTTCAGCTGAAGGATTCCCTCCCCTCACCCACCAGAATTTCTGCCTCTGATCCCTGACATAGCTGGAATAGCTGTGCTGCAATGAATTTTCATTTTGAGCCAAGTGAAGTTAGTTGGGATTGATTATAGCTAATTCTGCATCACTCTGAGTGACATAGGCTGTTTCCTTCACATCACCCCATAGGTGGTGGTGTTGCTTTATTATAACAGATGAGTCTTTTACATAATTTCCTATAATAAGAATGATTAAGGGATCCTTCTCCCTTCTTTGTATAACTCAAGAACAACCAGAACATGAGAGTATGGCTTTTCCCTTAGAATCCCATGAATTTATGTATCAAGAAAAATAGTGTTCTAAGCGACCCTGCACACCTGCCCCTGCACAGCCCCACAAAAATCTGCTTCTCCTGGGGATGGTGCAGCCAGGGCCGCCTGAGAGCCAGCCCAACTCACCGGGGAGTGAAACGCCGATGTGTCCAGCAGAGTGGCCACCTCATGCTGGGTGAAGAGCACAGAGCTGGAATCCAGGCTGGCCTCATCCAGCTCGTCCTGCATCACGTCCCTGAGCGCTTGGAGGAGATCTGCGAGAAAGAGGTGGCTTTTGCAGGGAGGGGAGAGAAAAGCACTGCTTTTGGGGGAGAAAATGCCATAGGTTTGGGGAAATCCCGACCGACAGGCAGAGCAAGTTTAGAGATACCAAAGAATCTTCTCTCAGCTCTTTGATGGTCCCAGCAAGCTTAAGTAAGTTCACTGAATGGTAGAATCACAGAATGCTTTGGGTGGGAAGGGACCTTAAAGCCCATCTGGTTCCAACCCCCTGCCATGGGCAGGGGCACCTCACAGCAGACCAGGTCGCTCAAAGCCCCATCCAGCCTGGCCTTGGGCACTGCCAGGGATGGGGCAGCCACAGCTCCTCTGGGCAGCCCAGGCCAGTGCCTCACCACCCTCATAGGAAAGAATTTCTTCCTAATACCTAATCTAAATGTACCCTCTTTTACTTCAGAGCCATTACTCCTACATTGCTGATAACCTTTACCAGACCATTTTTTTTTTTTAATAGTGAAAAAATGTCAAATTGAAAAAAAAATTGTACTTCTAAATAACAAAACAAACAAACAAAAGACAACCTCCCCCACATATTTGCAGTTTTCACTGTGGCTCTCAGAGTTCTAAAATTTCAATCCCTAGCGCCATTTCTCTGACCCATGTCACCCACCTGCCTGCTGGCATTTCTCATGTTTTTGACTTAAACCAAACAATCCAAATCAATGGCTTCAGCACTGCGGGGGGGATATTAAATGGACAAGTCTGAACATCAGGATTTGTTCTGTATGGAGGAGAGCCTGGTGCAAGGGGCTGCATGGGACACACGCAGCCTGCGCCGAGGACGGGAGGTGTTTGTGACTTCCCCTAACATCGAGGTGGTTGTGACTTCCCCTGACTGCCTGTGAGTAGTGCCCAGCAGGGAGCTTCTGGCTGAGCTGCTGCCTTTCAGCAGGTGCCTCTCAGCCATCAGCAAAGCTGCACAACAGCTCAGAGCCTGCTGGCAGCTGCCTGCTCACCTCCATAGGCCACCGTCCCCTGCGAGTCCGTGGTCAAAGTTTGCCGCAGCTGCCTCTTCTTCTCCTCAGTCACCTCCAAACCAAGGTACTGCAGAACCTGCAGCAGGAACAATGAACGTTTAATAAAAATAATAAAAATAATAAAAATAACTGCCTGAAAAACACCGCTGGGAAAGCACTGCTATGGAGTAGAAAGCAACGCTTTCTCCTGGAGGCGACTCTGCAGGCATCACCTGCTGGAGGAGCAGGCTTGGGCTGGACTTCCAGGCTCTGCTTTCCCACAGCTGCACAGAAATGCCTGTTCCTAAAGCCAGGGACACGTTCGTGGCCCTCCGAGAACATTTTGTACAGGCGGCAAACAGATTTGCAGCTATTACAAATGGGCAGGAGCTTTATCAAAGCCTGTGGAGCTGCAGCAATGCTCAGCTGCCAGGAGCTCGGCCTCTCTTCTTTCTGCCCAGGAACCGTGCTTGGGACCGAGCAGATAAAAGCTGTTCACGGGGTATTTCCTGCGGCAACGGGAGACATTCAAACATTTTGTCTCTCACTGCACCTTTTGCTCCCTTACTATGCATGATGCGCTGACTTCTGATACGTATCAGCTCAGCCCCTGGGGGCTGCACAGAAGTGGCTAAACCTGTGCAAACGCCACTTGGTGCCGGCGGCAGCAAGGAAAAGGCTTTAAAAGACAACATCAGGCTCAGCAGAGAACCTGGGAACGGGCCAAAGCTAAAGGTAGAGCTCTTTCTCTCAGCTGCTGCAGGCTGCGCCCAAAGCTCCCCCTCGCAGGGGTCCCCCCTGTGTGTCGCCCCCGACCCAGGCCCACAGAAGGGAAGGGAAGGGAAGGGAAGGGAAGGGAAGGGAAGGGAAGGGAAGGGAAGGGAAGGGAAGGGAAGGGAAGGGAAGGAAGGGAAGGGAAGGGAAGGGAAGGGAAGGGAAGGGAAGGGAAGGGAAGGGAAGGGAAGGGAAGGGAAGGGAAGGGAAGGGAAGGGAAGGGAAGGGAGCCGCCGCAGGGTGGCAGCAGATGCCCGCCTGTGCCCCGCACCGGGCCGTGGCCGTGCCCCCGCTCCCCCAAAGCCCGCAGCACCCCGGGGTGGGGGTACCCCACGCACCCCACAGCCAGAGCGGGGAGCGCGACCCCCTGCGGGCGCTCTGCCTTTCACCGGGGCTTTGGGTGAGCAAGTGGGCAGCTCTGCTCCTGCCCTGGGACGGTGCCCTCGTACTGCATTTTCCTCCAAAAGCTGGCAGCCCTGCCTGGAGCCCAGCACTGCGGCCACCCCCGGGAGCCTTCGGCCTCTCCTCTGCCCGAGGTCACCCAGCAGTGAGAGCAGAGCCGGGGGCTGGGGGGCTGCTGCCCACCCAAAGCTGCCCCCATACACGGTGCAGCCCCCGGGGCTTCTGAGCTGCCTGCAGCACCCAGAGGTGGCCGAGGGGAGCTGTGACCCCCCCAAACGCCCCTCGATGCCACGATGGGGATGTTTCACTCCACCCTGTTCTCCCTTTGGAGTTCCTGAGGCTGGACACATCCCCCAGCAAACTCAGCTGAGACTCGGTGATAAACACAGCTTGGGCTCAGCTGCGATGCCTCTGTCTCAGTGATTAGATGCAGTAACTGCAGTGTGTGAGCAGCGTGATGCCAGGGGGAAATCAGTCCTAAGGGCACTGCATGAGGAGCCCCTGCTGCCCCCAGCACGGCCCGGCTGGCCTCGTGGCGAGGAACTTGGCAGCTGCAGGCCCTGCTCCGTGTAGGGCACCGTGCACAAATGAGAGCACCGAGCAAGTGCAGTAGCTTTATTCAGCCAGGCTGATTCCCTTGGACTATTTCTATTCAGTTTTGCACTTTGTAATCCCTCCGGAAAGCAAGTGACCCAGTGACCCCAATGCTAATACCTGGCGCTGCCCTCCCACGCTCCAGTGAGCCACTGGGGCAGGTGGAAAGGTCTCGACCTGCTCCCGGCTCAGGCCTCCAGCAGGACCCAGCACCCCGGGCTGCCTGCAGGTGCTGCTCCACCAGCGAGACCCCTGGGGGTCTCTTTGTGGGGGCACAGCCACAGCAGGGGCAGTCACAACCCAACAGACAGCCACCCCTGCTGGCACACAGCCCCCCAGGTCCTTCATCTGGTGAACACACTGCACACTGCTCCCCAGTGCCCTCCTCCTGGCCTTCCTTGTTGGCCCCGCAGCTCTTCCACGGCAAAAACAAGGCGAGGAGACCGCTGGGGGAGTACCCTGAGGGGAGGAAGGAGAAGAGGCCACTCACCAGGTCCAGCTTGCCGTCCTTGAGGCGGATGTGGGGGTCCAGCGCTACTCTGGGCTTGGTGCCTGCAGCCACCCCCTGGCTGGGGGCCGAAGTGGGCGCTGAAAAGCCAGGAGGAAATGTTAATGGAAGAGTACTTGGGTAAAGGAAAGAGGGCAATTTGGGGCAGAATATATCTGCATGAAATACATTTCTGTGCAACAGAGCAAAATCAAAGAGCAGGATTTTTTTTAATCCGCGCCTGGAAGCCCAAAGCAGGCCACCATGGAAAAGACTGGACGCTGGGGGAGTGACAAACCCATGCTGAAACTGGGCTTCCTCCTGGCTTAAAATGGGGAGTTTCACCTGGGGACCTAGGAATGCCGAAAGGCCACTGTGGAAATTTCCAGTCAAGTTTTTTGGGCTCTTGGAGTCTGTACTTAAGGTGATCTATTTAAAAGAAAACATGAATCTGCTTCTATCCTGTCTACTTTAATTGATTGAGCAAAACTGGAAGCCAAGTAGCAACATCTTATAAAATACAGCCTTGGCCTTTCACAACACCCGTGGAATAGAGAACTGAAGCATTAAGAGCAATGTGGAAAAACAGTGGTGCAAGACTTCTTCCCTCCCTGAGACTGCGAAAAGCCTTGAACCCTTTTCCCCAGCTGCTGGGGCAGATTATTGGGGTAGGAGCTGTGTGCACTGCGAGGCACAGAGGGAGCCTGCAACAAGCACAGCTGCAAGGTTTTGGTGAGGGGAGGAAGGGCAGCTGCTGCATGGGCTGGAGGCTGTTACAAGAGGGGAAGAACCAGGTGCTGACAGCTGGCTCCTCCTTGCTGTCGCTGCCCTCAGAGCTCGGTGGTGCAAAGTGCAAATCCCACTGCCATGCCCTGGTGCTTGTGCTCCTCCACCCCTGGAGGAAACCCGCAATTAAGTCACGTCCATAACAAACCGTGCCATGCCCTGGGAAAAGGGCTGGCTCTGGAGGTACGGGAAGGCTCCGCTCACCCAGCAGCCACCAGCCCAGCACAATCCCTCCCTCTTTGTGCCAGTGGCACAGGACTGGCCCAAGATAAACTCCTTTCCCCTGCTTGAGTTCTGCTCTACAGCCTGGGAACCCCAGTCCTGCTGAATGAGCCCGCCTCTGGCCCACCCCAGCACCTCTCACCCTCCTTGGCCGCCGGGCAGGAGCACGGCGAGCAGCAGTGAGGTGCTGCAGACACGTAATCCTCCTAATCCTGGCATTCATCCGCTCTGCTAATGCCAGCAGCTGGGAAGCAGGAAGAGGTAATAAATGGGGCTGCTGGATTGGCCACCAACACTTCGCTCCCCACGTTCAAGGGCAGAGCTGTTACCCTTCAGTGCATGGCTAATCAGGATTAGATCCACGAGGCTCTGCTGTCAGCTCTGGGCACGCAGATATCCAGGGCATCCGCCGGGCACCCACCGACAGGCAGTCCCTGGCCCAGGCTCCAAGCCTGGCTGCTGCTCTTTCAAAGCCGGCTGTCTGCTTTCATGGATGACAACACCGACACAAAGCCTCCCCAGCATCTCACATTAAAACAACAACCAAAAAAAAGTGTAATAAAATCCCTCAGCTAAGTCAGGAAGCAATTAGATCATTGCTATATTGCCTCAGTGGCCCAGGGCCCATCACTGGGTGCTCTGGCTGTCTGTCGGTGGTGGCCACCTAAAAGCCTCCCTGAAACCAAGGCTTGCTGGGGACTCACTGACATGGTAAGGAAGACCCTCCAGGCAGAAGCAATGACATCTATAAACAATTTTCCAGTTTGAACAACTGAGAACAACCTTAATGCCTGTACAATGCCCGGGGCTGCCATGCACAGTGGAACCATCAGGAACTCACTTTTTTCCATACTGTGTCTCCAAGGGCCCCTCGTTCCCAGCAGATGGGAACGTTACGTGCAAGGAGACCTGCTGGATGTCAGTCTCACTGGATCTTTGCACGTGGACAAAGATGCTGCTGCGAATGAACTACACACTGAGAATGGAAAAAGTGCTGTTTCCTATTTCCAGTCCTCCAAATACCTTAGTAAAGAATTTTGCTATTATGGACAAAGCAACAAGGACATAGTTATTATCTGTTGAGTAAACACCTTCCCTCTCTCCCAGTGGGATGAATGTCATAATCGCACCATTAGATTCCACCAAAGTGGTATAAATACTGATCAAAATTAATTTCAGCATCCTCAGCACTGAGGAGCCAAGGCTGTGTTGGCCGCCTATACAGACAGAACCACTAGCAGGACTCTTACCTGAGACAGTAAGCTCTGGTGGGCAAATGTCTGGTGACAAAGAAGGCACAGGAAAATGATTTTCATGTCTATTCTAGAAAAAGAAGACAAAAGGGCACAGAATCTAAGCAGAAACTGTTGGTGTAAATATAGAGCAGAGCACAGGAGATCAGGAGAGAGCAACCCAACTGGCCTGCAGGAAGCAAGAGCACCCCATGTCCCTGTCCTGGCTCAGGGACAGGCCAAAAGAGGCTGTCAAGGGACTTCCCGCAGCTCTGGATGCAGGTGTGTCCCTGAGCCAGCTGCAGATAACTGTCAGACAGAAAACCTGAGTTCATTGTTACTCTGAGAGCACGGGTGAGTTTGACTTTGTGAGATCTGTCTGTAGAGGTCCTCTCTAAAGCTCTGTGTCCAAAACTCTGTGAGTTCCTGGTTCTGACCGTGGCCAGTTGAGTTATTTACCGAAAACACCTCATTATCAGAATGAGAATGACTGGAAGCAGAGATGGGTGCCCACCCTTTCTTAAGTACCAGGTCATGGGCTGAAGCACAAGTAAAAGGAGAAAAGGGTCACATTGTAGATAACCTGAGCCCACTGAGACAGTGTGTCCATAGCTGGAATCTCAGAAAGAGAGGCTCGGAGCTGATGCTGAGGACAGACAGGTGGGAAACATGGGAACCTAAACATGCTTTCTCTAATGTGGAGCCCTGACCTCAATAGAAGTTCAATTTTTCAACAACAACGTGAGGAAAGGAAAAATTTAATTCCAGTCAGCTGTGTGATTTCGTATAGGTACACAGCACTACACAAACACACCTTTCTGCTGGATGATGAACGATCTCTCCATACGACTCGCATATACATGTATATGAGTAGCCTATGTATGTATAGAGCCTATGTATGTATAGGCTAAGGCTGACTTTCATAAACATGTCTGCAGCCTGCACACCCAAAGGCAACACGTATTTGCCATTCCTGCAAGTCAGTGTCTACACAGGGTCTGGAAAGAAAAACCTTTTTTGGAATGATGCTTGTACAAAAGCAAACTCCATCCAGCCTTGTCCTATGGAAGCTTATGGGGAAAAGGGCAGAACACACACCAGGCATTGCAGCAATCCAGGAAAGGAATGACAAAGGCACGAAACCCGATCACAGGCCTAAATTATTGTGGGAGTTGTGTGGTTAAATCCTGTCTCACCACGCACAGCTCAAGCCCTCGCCTCTGCAAACACAACATGGAGCTAGGCTACACAGGAAGAATGAGCCTGTCTTATCATTAGGCTGGTGAGGAGCAGACACGGGCTGCTCAGGAATGCTGTGGATTCATCCTCATCAGAGGTCTTTAAGAACAAAGAGTCATTCCTGCCTTTGGGTAGGAGACTAGATCAAACCGACTCCTGCGATCCCTTCCAGCCCTGTGGCTGTGTTGAATGAGATGCAGGTTGCTATCCACAGATTATTTTTTTTAACCTGAAACGTCTGAATGCAGGCCCTGGAGATGAAACTCCTGTCATTTAGCTCCACCGATTCTTCGCTGTCTCAAACCCAAGATAGAAAAAACAGTATTTCAGATTTAAAACACCTGGCTGTAAAATGAGGTGACATTCATCAACATTGCAGACTTTCCACAGCCCAGAAAGACTACTACAGGGTCCCTAAAAAAGAGTTTTCTGATCAAAGAGAGATCACAGGACTGATGTCTGTGGTCTTAGACATGAATTTCAGCCTACCTCTGGGGACCTCACGTGGACCTTCAGTCTGCAGGAACTCAGACCATTTCCCACAGCCTTTGGCGGTGGTGACGGGATGTTGTTATGAACTGACAGTCCGGGATGTAACCGTCCCCGTCCAGGAATAAAGGCCACTTCTGTGTTTCCCTCGTGTCTTAAATGAACAATAAATACAGGACATTTGATTAACCAAGAAAGTATAACTTAAATTTGCAAAATGTTCATTCCCACGGTTCTTTCTCCAGGACAATCTCACTTAAGGCCATGGAACCTGCACCAGCATGGCTGGATCACCACCAGCCGGGTTGCTTGTTTGGACTTCAGCTCTTTTGTGGAACTCTGGTAGACAGTGATAGCGGATGTATGTGAGGACCAGAACAATGTGAAGGTCTTCATTACACTTCAGGATGATCCAGGCATTCAATATTTCCTCGTATCACAGCCATCTCAAAGTGCCATTCAAAACTAACATGCCTCGTGCCTCCTGAAGCCAAACGTTGGTATGACACAAAGGGTTTCTGCCTAAGATTCAACATCACTGTGATGATGACAGGAAATACACTACATGCCTACCTGAATTTGGCTTTTGTAATGATTTTTCTGGCCTCTTCAAGTGTGCTGCCCACCAGGGAATCTCTATTGATAGCAATTAGTTGGTCACCAGGTCGGAGCCGGCCATCCTAAACAAAGAGGGAGAAAGTCAGAGCACTGGAAATGAATATCCCTCTGCCCTACACCTTCTGCAACAAAAATCTTTGTTAGTCCATATAATGCATTATTCATCTATTCTTAGAAAAGCTGCTTCAGAAGAGCTACAACTTCTAGGAGAAGTCCCCATTGCAAAGTCGCTGGGGGTTTCTCCACTGACTTACCTTGTAACAGTCACCATCTGGCATAAGCTCTTGAATGTAAACCATGGGACCATCAGGTCTGTTGGATCCACCACTGATTGTCAGTCCTAAGCCAGAGGACTTTGCTATAGAAATGCTCTGGATTCCTGATTCAGTGGAGTAGCTGCAAGGGAGAGACGTTAGCAGGTGACTCGAGGTGACCTGGTTTATTTTGCCATATCTCTGAGCAATCTCTCCCTGATTTTCTTTCCCTGTATGATCTTCCTAATTTCTCCTAGTCTTTTTTGCCTCTGCATATCTTCTTCCACCCAACCTGTGAAGGAGGAGGTGAGGACTACAGTTTCTTAACAGACATTGTTTGTCATTAGGAAGATAATTGGCTTGCTTAATCCCAAATGTTGGGGAATACTTGTTTTCATTTAGGAAATAAGAAAACTAAAGTCTTAGCTAGTATATATTTGGCATCCTTGTCTCTACAACAAAAGGAAAAAAAAAGGGCTGATGTAGTTATCATTCCAAACCCAGCCTAAATCACCAGAGAGCAATTTACAGATTGGTCAACTATTAAATAGCCAATAGCAAAAGTCAAAGTGAAGCTCAGGGTACACAGCTGACTTCTCATCTCAGCCAGGGTTTGGACTCAAAACATTGCAAAATGCCCTGAGAATCAAGCCTGTAAACTTCCTTATAACAATAACTACCACACTGAGATCTACTTTTATGGCAGTGGCACAAATGCCTCACCCAGCCAAGGCCGTGCTGAGAATGGGGCAAGAGCGAGGAAATTGGAGCCTGCCCCAAGGAGCTGCCTGCTGAGCAGGACCCCGCAGGGCACTGAGATGGTGACTGCTCGTGACTCTGCGCAGGGAGGGAGAGCTGGCACTTACAGGAAGAGTTTGTGGGCACCGGGATTTTACTGACACGCTGCGGACTGGGGGAGCGACTGGGCAGCACCACACCAGGGAGGCTTTGGGAAGGATTCGGTTGTGTCTGAAGGTCATTAAGCCTTTTCCTTGTTATGAGCCGGGTGCAGGTGGCATCTCTCCTTTTCAGTTTATCTCCACAGCAGCCACTCACCAAGCGATCTGTGGTTTCTGGTCCTCTGTGTGTCAGCTGGTAGCTTCAGACACAAAGATATTCCTGGGCATTGCTGGCACAGAGCTGCCCCGTGCTGCTCAGCAGTGCCATCCCCAGCGCTCAGCACCCCAGCGAAAGAGCGGTGTGCTGCCCGTGCCGGGCCACACTGACAGCAGGCCACGCATTTATGCACCGTGCGTCTTAGGCTTATTAAAAAACAGAAATACTGGACCCCCCTGGAGGGGGTTAACCACGGAGCGAGGATGCCTGGTTTATCCAAACCAGCTGCCAAGGAGATGAGCTGGCCTCTCCTCCGTAAGGGTCTCTCACTCTGTGCAAGCAGCTTAAACCTCTGGTGCCAAATATTTGTCCTTTGCAAATCCCTAATAAAGAGCTGATATTTAGCAAGAGGATTTACTGGTTCTGCAGTGAGGCCTGATTCTTTTTAGCAGAGCCTTGGCTTGTTTACACTGGCAAAGGAAGAGAAGCTGTGGGCCCTGGGGATGAATGGTCCCAGCTCCAGTGCCGTTAACACCCTTCACGTCGTCCCTCTTGCAAAGGGCAACCCCGCGCACCCTGGAGATGAGACTCGGTGGAAAACAAGCTCTGCCTGCCCAAACCTCTGACCCTGCGAAATATGAAAGGGCTGGATGACCACATGAAAACACATACTTCATGAGCCATGGTGTCTGCAGGCAGCCACGGCTCACACCAACGCAAAGGGCATCGGGAAACGTGCTCCTGAGTCACCTTCTGGTGGCACCAGTGACCTCGCAAAGGCACCCGGCTCGTGGTGTGGTCTGTGGAGGTGGGGGGGCACCCTCCTTGCAGCTGGTGGCATAAAGCCATGTTGCAGAGGGCAGGGAGAGGAGCAGCTGCGTGGCTGACCACCACCCGCACACACCGACTGTCCCAGAGGGGGAGATTTCAGCTCTTGGGGGGCAGGCTTATCCATCACAGCAAACTGCTGCTGTGATGAGGACACACAGGGGACACTCTGGAGCGGACACATTAACAGTGAGCCATTGTGGTGATGCCATGGTATAGAAAAGGTAAAGATGATCAAAGCAGTCCTTCAGACCAGTATTCACTGTTTTTCTCCCTAAGACAGTGTTAAGACATTTGGTGACATCTTCCTAACAGACCAGTGGCCTGGAACACCTCGCTTTTTGCCACACACACAAACTCCTTAAAGAGGACACGTTTTAGAGGGGCACCCCGTGCTTTATGAAGAGCAAAAATTCGGAAGCCAAGCACGGAAAGGGCCCAACAATTGGCTACTAGCTGCTCACCAAACCTGGTGGACACAAGCCTTTGACAAAGCGCGACAGGCAGCTTGCCTTGCTGGCTGCTGAGGGCAGGTCTCAGCAGTTCCTGGGGCATGACACCACGGCACAAGGGGGCCCGTCCGACACGGCTGTACGTACTGCGTGTGGGGCGTGTGCGCTGGGTTGCCGATGAAGGGGCCATGGGAGCTGGCTGGGCTCAGCAGCAGCGGGCTCTGGGAGCGCGAGGAGGAGCCTGAGGATGTGCTTTCCAGGTATCGACCTGAACAGCAAAGTCAGAGTCAGTCCAGAGAGCACGCACACTCCAGCACCACCCTCCCGCTCTGCTCTGCCATCAACAGCTGACACCAGCTTCCTAGCTATTTTGGGAAAAATCATGTGGAAAAGGCATCAGCATGTAATTCGTGGAGAGGACACCATCAGCATCCTCAGCACCCGTCCAGCATGAGATTACCACCCCTCTGCTGGCCCAGAGTATCTCTGCCACAGGGGAAGGGCTGGCAGCTTTCTGGGATGCCGACCCAGAGAGACACCTTCTTTCCCCATGCACAGGTGCTTTGGCATTCTGGTATCTGGCTTAGGTTACCTTGCTGTGTCTCACTAAGCATTTCCCTTTTGTCAGTGAAAATAATGATAATCAAATGAACGATAGCTGAAATGCTTTGAAATGCACTGTAGAAAGCTGCATCTGCAGAGATGGGTATTGCTGGCAGCCCTGCATGTTAAAGTGGAGTCTGGGTATCTGGAAGTCTGTTCTGGCCCCAGCTCAATTCTCCCTAAATTCCCCAGGTGGATGCTGGCTCACTGCCTCGCTCTGCGCAGGCACTGCCAGCCTGTGCTGGCTGCTCCACGCCTGGAAATGCACTCAATGCTTTCAGTAAAGAGCAGGACATTGCTTCCTTCAACCCAAACCAAATTAAATCAAATCAGAACTCCTTCAAAATAACAATGGGATAAAGAAAACTCTCTTGGCAGTGGGATAAAGGGGGTTTCGGTTTTCCCCAAGCACCACCACCAGTGACCAGTACTCACTGCTGCCATGCAGGACTGGTGAGCTCCGTGCAGAGCCGGTGTTGCTCTGGGAGCCAAACTTCTCCAGCAGCTCTGAGAACTCTCTCCTGGAAAGGAAAACACGGGATGGTCAGCAGCTGCTGCTCAAAACCATTCCCCACCCCACCGTGTGACAGCAGCGCCCTGATGGCTGTGACTTATTACTGAGTCTGTAGGGCTGGCTCCCTCCAGCAATGGGGAGCAGACAGGAGCTTTCTCACGCCTGAACCCTGCAATCTCAACAGGTTGTGCAAGGCTTAAGGTCCATGATCAATCTTGTGACTGAGGATGCTGAACCAGCAGAGACATGCTAAGTTTACAGATACCGAGAGCAGAGGGGCTTCTTAGTAAATTCAAGTACAGGGAGGAGTCACAGAATCACAGAATATCTCAAGTTGGAACGGACACACAAGGATCATTGAGTCCAACTGCTGGCTCCACACAGGACCACCTGAAAAAAACAAACCCGATGTCTGACAGCACTGTCCAAATGCTTGTTGAACTCCAGCAGCTCGGTGCTGTGACCACGTCCCTGCGCAGCCTGTCCCAGTGCCCGACCACCCTCTGGGTGCAGAACCTTTCCCTAACCCCCATCCTGACCCTCCCCTGTCCCAGCTCTATGCAGTCCCCTCGGGTCCTGTCGCTGTCCCCAGAGAGCAGAGCTCAGCGCCTGCCCCTCCGCTCCCCTGTGAGGGAGCTGCAGGCCGCCATGAGGCCTCCCCTCGGCCTGCTCTGCTCTGGGCTGAGCAAACCCAGGGACCTCAGCTGCTCCTTGTATGCCTTCCTCTCTAGACTCTTCACCATCTTTGTAGCCCACATTTGCTCAGTCTCTAACAATTTTATGTACATTTGATAATGTGGTGCCCAAACCTGCATTCAGGATTCAAAGTGAGGCCACACCAGCACAGAAGAGAGTGGGAATGGTGGCGCACAAAAGTTTAGCATTATCCCTCTGTCTTGTAACCCCCCTGCTTCATATATTACCTCACGGCAAAGGAGCCACATCCACAACATCTGGAAGCTGCTGTGATGCTCAGGAGCTTTCATTAATGCTTTGCTCCCAGGTTGAGTTTGATTACCGTGTAACAACCCGGAGGTGTTTAGTCCTCCCTAAGCCGTAATCACTAGCGCACAAGAGGTGTTGCTTCACGACCTTCCTCACCAAGTGAAACACGCTGAGTTCTTAAGCCATTAAGAACCACCATTAGCCATGTTTACCAGCTCCTGCATCATTTCTGTAATCCTTCTTTGAGCTGCTGTGAGCCTCTCACATCCGTTTGGATGAGGAGGCACGGAAAGGGGATGCCACGGTCAAGCACCAGCCTCACGCGCCCATCCCTGCCATGCTGGCTCTTTGGGCAATGCAGCTACTACTTCCTCTGCGTATGTGCAGCCCTCTCCCTTCATAACCCAACGCTTCCAAATCAAGCCAACCTTCAGGCAGAGAAGTCCCAGGGATGACTAATTTCTTACAGGTGTCATTACGGGAGAGACCCTGAAATTGCTGCTTCTCTGGCAGCGGCAGCATTAGCTGTCCACTTTGAAGGCAGGCGGGAATTCCCATGGGAAGGTGCCCTGTCGATGCCACAGCCACATGAAAAGCCTGGCTATGAGGGCTAGCTCTCACGCTTGACAGGCGGTCAAGCCCAAGACAAACCTGCAGGAAACCAGCCACAGCAGTTTCCTCACTGAGGAGTCTGCTACTGCACACCAGCAGACATTGTGTCATCTGCATACTTTACTGGGACAGATGTTATATATTATTGGCTAGATTAGAGTCAACAATATTAAATGATGAGTGAATCATCAGCTCCTTGGGTTCCTGCTGGAAGTGCTCTCAGTAATTTACGTCTTCCCATTTGCAACCAGCTCATTAACTAACTTCAAAGAATTATGCCTGCCTTATCTAATATTGCCATCAAATGTATGCCTTATTCATTCGATTTAATGCTAATTTTAAATCCAAGTATCACACAACACTTAGTGGAATGCCTTGGTGAATCCAAATATTTTGCATTGACATTGTTGTCTCTATCAACTAAACCTATGTCCTTAAAAAAAGACAACAGCTTTGTTCAAAAACCCCACCATCTACAAAGATATTCCAGCTGACAGCTTCATAGCACTAGACACTGGAATATGTCTGAGCACTGGAAAAAAATGAAGCTTAGAAAGATCCCATAGCAATAGGACGCAGTTTCCTGTCCCATGGTTTCCTTGGGTTAAGACTTGGATGGCTCAGCAGAGTTTTCCCAATTTGCCAGTGAAATTTCTACAGGTCATTCAGACTCCCATTTCACTGGTAACTCACGTGGTGGTGGAGTTATCCCTCCATGACCTATTGCAATGGCAGGGCTGACTTGCTGGAAGCTAATACGTTATTTCCAGTGATTACCTAGCCATCCGCAGCTGGGTTTTTGTTTTGGGCTGGGTGTTTCTGTGGTCATCTATTGTTACATTTTCCACAGATAATAATTCGTCAGAGCATGGAACAGGTTATGAACTTAAAACAATGGCTGAAAAATTCTTAGTCAATGCAAATGCAACTAGTCCAGCAGCTCCTGTGTTCTTTAACCCTGCTAAACAATGCAGCCCCAATCACCAACCCATGCTGTCAAACCTTTTGCTACAAGCAAGGGCAGGCAAGGCTTGGGCATTCTTTGTTGTTGTTTATTTTGAGTTGTTAAGGTCATCCACAAAGCAAGGCGGCGTTCATCATTGTTTGCTGCGCACCGCGACTGCTCGGCGAGGGACAGGGTGATGACCTGCGTCACACGCTGCCCTTCTGGCTCCTGCTTTGTTGGTCAATACTGCAAGCAACAATTCCACCGAGGACATAAACACATGACTAACTTGAAGCTTATCCCAGCAGCAAGCAAGACACTTTCTGGTGTGAATCTCCCAAGAATTAATTTTGTGCTCAGTGTTGTATTTGAAGGAATTTGCGAATGGGCAGATGATGCCCAAACATTACTGATTAATGAACAAGTGCACTGGAAGAATGCTAACAAGCTTTGCTTTGTGCTTTCAGACGCTAAGACACTTCAGAAGTCATCTTTAATATTTAAAATTTGTCCCTTATTAAAATATTCTGAATTCTCAAGTCTCTACAGGTCTAAAATGCCCAGCTTTATTTCAAAAAAAAAAAAAAAAAAAAAGTAATGGGGCTGTATAAGGCAGAAAGTTCATCTTGACAATCCCTTCTCCAGCTCTTTTTCATTAAAATAAAGCAGTGCGAGGGCTGGAGCATCCCTGCAGCAGAGCTCAGCCCTGCGGTGTGGGGTCAGATAATGGGGCTTGCCAGCAGTAGCCAGCTGCGGCCGACTTTGCTACAGATTAAGCAGTAGGAGGGGGTCAATCTTCCTGCAGAATATTGTTGTTTTATCTCATAATACCTTTTTGTCCTGCCCTTTTGTTCTTGGGAGAACAAAGGGCGAGTCTGACATCAAAGGTTATGCGACAGCACCGCGTCTGGAAACCTCAGCCCTGCACCGCGGCTGGGGAGAGAGGAGCCTGTGACACCGGGTGAATTAATAGCGTGCCTCAATAAACAAAGCCTGCAGGGCAGCGGGAACCCCGAACCCCAACCACTGCAAGCCTGATGCAAGCAGCAAGCGCGGCAGAGGCAGATTTTCTCACACCCAGCCCACAGCAGATGCATCGTTTACAGCTCCTGGGTGGGCAACACTCCACAGTGGTGGCCGCAGGCCTGAGCCCATCCCTCCTGTGCACCCCAACACCACTGCTGGGCCGGACTTTGCCGTAAATGCCTGGGAAGCAGCAACCTGCACACGTGCACCACAGCTCTGGGGTGAATGGGTCCAGGTTTTCTTTCCAGGAGCAGCTAAAGACCCCAGGACAGCAGGCCTGCAGGAGTCAGTGCTCGAACAAAGCAGGCGCTGAAGCTGCTTCCTATCTGTGGTGGCCCACGGATGTCACCCGAAGTGACACAGCAGCATTGCTTGGCAGGCTGGATGAAGGGATTGCCTTGCACCAGGCTGGGCAACAGCTTCAGGAACTGCCTCTTCCTGCATATCGGCTGTGTGCTTGCACACAGGCAACCTTCCTTGACTTCTTTGGGTGCAGGATTATGAATTGGCAATGTTGCAATGATTGTACGTGTAGATGTATGATTAATGCAGCAGCCCAGTTTTGACAAGATGACTGTGCGTGCCGTGCACAGATGCGTGATAAAATGCTAAATACGTTGCGAGTGCGAGGAGGTGCAGCGCAGGCAGGCTTTCTCACAGCGACAAACCTGAAAGACCAGGACAATATCTGCGCAGCCCATGGAAACAAGGCACTATTGTAACTTTCAGGCTGAGAATGAATAAACAATAATTACGCGTAAGCAATAAAATTATCCTCATTAGCCAAAGATGAGCACAGATGAAATCGGATCTTCCAAACCCAGCGTGTCCAGCTCTGAATCTGAATTTTCTGCTTTAAGCCCTAGCATTACTGCAGCGCTCTGCAGCATGTCTGATGTGCCAGGCTGAAAGCATGCATCTTATACATGCCAGGACTGAGTTCCATTAACAGCGCAGGTAATTGGGGCCTATAATTAACATCAGGGACAAATAATAGCCTTTATAAGTCAAATTCACCCAAGGGCAACCACAACAAAATGCTACTCAGCTGAGTCATTGGGAAAATTGGCAGGCAGGGTGAATCTTCTTCCAAACCCAGAGCCATCGCCTTTCCTCCCCAGCGTGCCTCGTCCACACGGGGCTCATGCAGAAAACCTGCACGCAAACAGCTGCCAGGAGGCTGGATCGTGCCCAGCACCCTGGGCAGGGGGCTGTCTGCTCACCCACCTGCTGGAAAGATGGCCTGGCATCATAAAATAAAGACAAACATAAGGGGGAAAAAAAGAAAGAAAAAAAAAAAAAAAAAAGAGAGAGAGAAAAAAAAAGTAAGTAAAAAAAAAAAAGTAAAGAAAAAAAAAAAGTAAGAAAAAAAAAAAGTAGGAAGCAGAAAAATCCTTCCTCCTTTTTCCACAGCCCTTCATCCTGGAAATATGTATTCATGTATTAAAGGCTGCCAGAAGATTGGGTGAGTAAAATCTCTGCAAATCTTAATAATAATAATAATAATAAACTCATTACTTCTCCACTGTCCCTCCAGGTAACCTTCTGCAGATTTAACAGATAAGCAAATGGAGGCCAAGCAAATTGCCGAAGGTCTGCTGGTCCCCGGTCAGGTTCTGTGCTGCCTTGCAGGGAGGCTGGGGGCTGCCAACGGATGCACGTGAGCCACAGCCGCAGCCAAAGCCACGCGTGCAGATATTTTAACAACCATCTGTTGCAGTTTAAGATGTTGGGAGGCGAGGTCGAGGTGCCTGAGCAGCTTGGAGCAGGCAGACACGGGTGAAGGCAGGACGCCAGGTGAGCAGCGAGCTGTGCGTCCTTCCTCACACCAGTGCTGGGCGAGCTGCTGGCTTCACCCAGAACTTCCTCGGCAGCTGCTGAGGGACTCACAGCTAATATAATAATTTGAGATGCAATTTCCACTTGAAGAGCACAATATGGGTAGGTAAAAAGCATCATTAATACCAAATACTTCTTCCACCAGAATATTACTGCGTTACAATGAGCCTCATCCCTGTCATTACAGTACGCTCACCAGCCCGCTAAGGCAGTGACGCTCCATAGCTTTGGTGGATAAGAAATGAAACCATCATCCCTGACCCTAACGGGATGCAGGTACATTGAGCAAGTGACCGCAGGATCTGCAGCCACCCACGGCAGCACCAAGCCTCACGCCACCAGCCCTCCCACCCACCACGGCGCCTGGGCTTCACCCACTCTCTTCCAGTGGTTCTTGGTGCACCTCAACTTTCCAGAGGTGTGCTTCTAGCCAAAGGAGGAGGGGAGATCCAGCACATTGCAGCGAGTCTCCCTGGGGATGGGAGCATCTAATCCCATACCTTAGCTTCCACGACCCTGTCCTCTCCTGTGAGAACATCATTGTCCCACAGCTAACTCCAGCCATAACCAAATTGAACACTTTCCTTCTCCTTTCAGTGCCTCCAACCACCTCTGAAGAAAGCAAGACCTTACAGGGAGCAACCACCCATCTTCCCTAGGAAGAAGAAATCCATATAAGGCAGCTTGAAGGAGACCTTATCTCCCATCTAGCTGGAAAAGAAAGGGAAGATCCTGCTGTCACTGCACATCTCCATCCAGAGCTTTATGTAGGACGTGATAAGCCACAGGCAACTCAACACCACCCAGCAGTGCTGAAGGAGCCTTCCCATGCCTGTGCCACCCTAGGCCAAAGACCCTTGGCCACATCTGTCTCCACCGTGGGCTTTGAGCCCGGTCAGCTCAAACACCGTCCAGTTGTAGAGGTTCCAAGTGCCACCACCACCACCACCCTTCCCGGTGTGAGAAGCCTTACCTGGCATCGTCATCACGGGCTATAAGAAGGCGCATGTGGCTGGTGGCCGACGCCGTCCGCAGGATGTCCACAGCCCTGCAGGACAAGGACCACAACGTGTCAACGCCAAGGGGCTTTTTTTTTGGGGTGGGGACCATTACTGGGCTGGATGGCTGTGGGGCAGCCCCGTGCAGCCTTAGCACACTGTGTGGCGGTGCAAGGCGTAGCGCCCCGTTTAAGAGAAGGTTTCTCACACATGCAGGTGGGTTCGCTGCTCTGTTTTCAGAGAGAAACTTCTCATCGATAATTTCATCAATAATTTCCATGTTGGCCCTTGCAAACAGTGCTGGGTGCAGAAACCCTTTGTTTGCACCAGGGCACAGACAAAGCAACGCCCCAGTGTCCTCCGTTCAACCTGCGGCCCAAACCACTTCACAGAATTATACAAAACCGAGAGGAATGCGAGATTTCCGTCCGGATACGGTACCTCTCGCTGGTAACCCCAATTAGGGAATCTCCATTGACCTCCAGGATCTGGTCTCCTGGCTGCAGGCGCCCTAGAAAAGAAAACTAATGGATAAAAACTGCAGAAAATACAGCTTGGAGGGACTTGGAGAGGTTGGGCTGTTCCTGCCTTTGCCCAGAGACAGGATGAAATATGCATGGGTTGTTCTGAGGTGCTCATCAGACCTGTTTTTCAAGATGTCCAGAGATGAAGTATCTACCACGGCCCTGAACACGCTCTGCCAACGTCAGAGGCCTCCCGTGCTATGGGAAGTTACGAAAGTAAACACAAAAATACCAGAAAACTTCTGCTTCATTCAGTTTGAGGTCAGGTGGGAAAAACCACGAGTGGTTCCACCTGCTCGGGATTTATTTTTTCTTCATCAGGTGGAAAAATGATGTTGTAACATTTTGGAAAAAAAAAAGGCTTAAGTTCCAGCAGGTGAACTCTGCGGACCCTTGCCTAATGCCTGCTGGTAAGTCGCTTTGGGGCTGCACGCGATCCCGCTGCAGGCAGCAGAGCACAGCGAGCTCTTTGTGCAGCAGGGATGGAGCTGGGGTTAAAGCCACAAAGCAATCCTCTAAGTGCTGTGGAGCCCAGGGGCAACGCAGCCCTTCGTCATTACGGTGATTATCACAGTAAAAACCAGCCCCACTGCTGGAAAATCTGGCAGGAAGCACCCAAATGCCCCAAAAAGCAATGTATGGAAGTACCCTGTCTGTCTTCTGGCTTTTCTGCTGATCCCCCTCCACGTTTCACTCACCGTCAGCATAAGCAACACCCCCTGGCAGGATCCTCTTGACATAGACTCCGTATTCTTCCCCGGTGAGCTCCTTGATGCCGCCGATCACCTTAATACCTGGGGGAGGAGAAACGCCCGTGGCACAAAGGCACGAACCAGGCAGATTTGGGATCTAAGGCTTGTTGTAAACCGCTTTTGTGGCAGGTCCTGCGTGCCTCCTGTGCTACACCCGCGGCAGAAACAGGACGAGGCTGCTGACGCAGCACAGAGGCCAGAAACATCTGATAACACCTGCTCCGTGTTGCAGTGATGGAGAACAAGCTTTGGGGAACGCACAGGCAGGGAGCGACTGTCTTCCCACAACCCAAAAAATTCATCGTTTGCACTTAAATTGGTCCGTGCTGGGAAAGGAGGCGATTCTGCTGGGGAAGCTTCAGCTGCCATGATGGGACCCATGAGATGTTGTCGTGGGAAGGCAATGCTCCACTGCATCCCCTGCAGCAGCCGCTTCTGAGCTCCATCTGAGCAGCTCAGAGGCAGGGATGTCCCTTGGTGCCCTGCAGCTCCCCAAACCCCATGGGTGCCTTCCCCAGGGGCTGGCACCACACGGCTGCGTCCCTGCTGCCGTGCGTAAGCTGGCTGGGAAAGGCGCAAGAGACTTATTTGCCCGCTGTCATTAAATCCCACTTCGAGGATGCAGGCTGCAGACAGAAGGATTAAAAAGCCTGGCTTTAATTAACAAATCTCTCCCGGGACCCGCCAGTCAGGCATTTTGCTGCTGTGGCTGGGAGGGCAGGCTGAGGACAGTTGGCACCGCACTGGGGACATGCCCCAGGGCTGGCCCTAGCTCAGGACCACTGGGGACAGTGGCACGATCTCCATCCGCTGCTCCCCTTCCAGTATAACCTAAGCCCTGCGCTAAGGACTCTTGTGGTTTTCAGCTATCCTAGGGAAAGGCCTCGTCTCTCAAGTTGCCTCGTGTTAAACTCACCGAGGCGGGTGGCAGAGAGCCCCCGGGATGAGGATCTCAGCGGGAGGGCCTGAGGGCCCTGCACCACGAGCACAGGCCCTGCACAAGGCTCAGCCCCAGCAGCTCCCCCAGTGCGTGAAGGAGTCGGGAGTGATGGCGTGGGTCAGGCACATCCCTTGAAGGTCTGCACCTCGGGGGGAGCCCAGCAGGGACAGCACCCAACAGCACCGTGACGTCTGTCGGTGCCGGGCTCCTGGGCATCAAGTGAATAATGACTCATTTCCCTTTTGTGTCCGCACATCAATTGTAATAATGGCTTAATATAGCCGAAGTATCTACAAATCCTCCTTCATCCCCAACAATGTCAGGAGAAAATCCGATCTTGTTATTAAAATCAGCGATTACTCACAGCATCGCTCCCAGCCACACTCAAACTTTGACAGGGGGGACAAAACCAACGAGCTCCTTCTCTCCCCTGTTGGCAATCCCAGTGGGTGCTGCTGCTTGCACCGGGAGTGCCCCCAGGTGCAGAGGTGGTGTCGGGCAGTGGGACCATGGGTGACAACATTGCCCTGTCCCCTGCTGGTGCCCACGGGGGTACAGGCTCAGGCCATTTGCTGCAGTCTGGAGCAGGTACCTGTCCGCTGTCTGCTTCTCCTTGGGGTTTTGTCTGGGAGTTCCACAGCTCGGGTAGCGTTCCCGGGAGCCTTCCTATTTTATAAACGCCTGTTTCGATTGAATTTATATCTGGGACCCAGTTTAGGTAAATAACGGCTCTTTAATTATCACAGCATCAAAGTCCCAGTATAATGCTTATTAAGTCATACTTAGGGCCAGATAATCTAGCCTATTTTGGATCCCTCTCTTTAATCTTTCCTTTCTGGCAGAGGTCCTGGTGCTGATGCTGATGTCTCCACTCACTTCTCGTTTGCAGAATAAAGGTTTACAGGGAAGTTCCAGGTGGGAACGCAATTTGCACCAGCCAAGACGGAGTTTTCTTTGGATTCCTAGCAATAGTATAAGTTTCCCCAGGACCCTTGAGCTTCCCTGCTACATCTAATCCTGCTCCCACTAATGCCAGTGTCACAGTTCTCAACTTCTCAGCCCTATAATCTCACCTGCTCCCGGCTCGCCGGGCGGCTCTGCGCCACGGGTCAGGGGTCTCCCGGCTAATCTGGTTGTTTAGCCCAAATGCCATCAATCCCCACGGCTCCTGGGGTGCTGGGCATGTAGGCAGCACAGGTTCTGATCCCAAACTCTCCTCCTCCCAGCTCCACCACCTTCACACTGAAATTTGCCTGCTGGGGGATGCCATCCCTGCCAGCACGGTGCCGTGGTCCCAGCGGTCTGCACGCAGCGAGGCTGCCCGCTTTGCGCCTAAGCCAGCAATGTTCAATTACATTTCCCGTAATCCCTCTGTTGATCCCGCTGTCCCAGCCAGCTCTCTCTGTCTGGAGGAAGGGACAGATTGCAGGTGAATCGCTCTCTGCCTTGTCCTAAGGAGATGAAGGTCAAGATAATGGGATCCTGGCGTTTCCGAGAAACACTCCTCATCAGCACTTCCCTTTGACGGCTATTCTTTAATTCCAAGCTCCGTTCTGGGAACCGCCAGGTAACCCCTTTGAACTCCTGCCCAGGTCCACTTGTGGGTTTCCACACCAAGCCACGGAGCAGCAGAGCCAGGGCCAAACGCTGACCTGCCTCACCGGCCCCGAGCAGGCTGATTCTGCCCTGCCAAGCACCCGCAGCTGGGTGGAAGACGCTGGCACCAGGCACAGGTGCTCACAGAGGAGCCTTGTTTCCAGAATGTGTTTGTGCCTTCCTGCATCATTGTGCCTTCCTGCAGCATGGTTCAAGACCCCGCAGAGGTCTGAGAGACCCCGCAGAGCCCCTCAGGCAGCAGCAGCTGGAGAGGAGCTGTGTGGGGACCCAGCGGAGCAGCTCGTGGGGGGCTGTGACCAGTCCTTAATGAGCCAATCTAACCCCACAGCTAAAATGCCATCAACTCAGCCACAACTGCTTCCTGAGATTAAAATATTCAGAGAGCAAAGGAGCTTCCCCAAGTTCCCATGGGCCTTATGAGTGGGTGATCAGAAGAGAGCCTGCGAACTGCAGCGTAGAGCCCCGTTAGCCAAGAGCTGGGAGCAGCCGCTAATTAACGAGTGGTGCCAGGAAACCTGAACTTGTTTCTCTGGGGAGGAGGAATTCCTGGGACTGGGCCCCCAGGTGGTCACCCAGATGGTTATGACCCTCCTCTCTGTGCTTTGATGTCCGGTGCCCTATGAAGGTTGGCTGACTCGCTCTGTGCTCGTGCTCTTACTCTGGGCCAGGGTTTCCAATGGGATCCCACCTGCCCTCATAGAGCCCAGGCCCCAGGAAGGCTCCAGCACCTGGCAGGGGCTTCCTGGGGGCCAGGACACCAGCACGGGCTTGGGAAGTGTACGGGATTTGTTTTGTTAAGCTGGAGAAGTCAGCAAGATCTGCAGAAAGCTGTGAAAAGCCTTCCCCTCCACCCTGCTCAGCCCCAGCTCCAGGTTCCCGTGCAGCCCTCAGCACTGCAGCTGCTCATCACCAGCAGGAATTAATTGGGATTTTGACCTTATTTGAACCCCCCAGCTGTGAAAGGCTCTATCAGAAGCTCAGCACAGGCAGACACAAGAACTGGTATTCCCATGAGAAATCGGACTTCAGACAGGAGGACAGATCAGGACACGGACCCTGGGGATGCGCGGGACGCTGGAATTTCCCCCAGTGGGGGCTCAGGACTCACCCAGCCCGTTGGCACAGTCGTAGAAGTCAAAGCAATGCATGGTTCGATCCATCCCGTACGGTCCCATGAGTGTCCTGGGGGAGAGAGGAGAGACATCTTCCTGAATTGGTGATGACAAAGAGCTGTCCACCTGCGTGCCAGCGCTGCCTCCGACCCCGCAGGGCTACCAGAAGGCTCAGGCTGAGAGTCAGGGCCGTGTGTTAAGCCCACCCTGGCAAAAAGCATCCCCCCTGCCACCCCCCCAGGGTTTATACTGATAACCGAGAGAATATGTGCGGGGCTGGACATCATCCTCCCCACCCAGCAAAGCTGATGGACCTGCCTGCGATTCATTACCCCAGATTAACAGGGCCGGACAGCTGTCCAGCTGGGTGGAAGTGAGATCAGGGCTAGGACCGATGTCCCGGGAATAAACCCGTTTCACAGACACACACAGCCCGTAATGAAAAAAAAAAAACAGACCACATGCACTGCCAGTGTTCTGTACTACATGCGGGGTGGCCCATGGGGAGGCAGGGACTCATTTTTCCATCCCACCAGGAGATCTGGGGATCTACAGCCTGGCCCCAAATCTCTGCCCCTCCAGGTTAAGGGTGGGAGCTTCTCCCAAAGAGGGCAGGAGAGAAACCCAAACCTTCGCTTCACCCACGCCAAGTCACATCCCAGCTGCTGTTTTAGCCAGTCTCCCTCCACTCCCTTCTATCGATTTTTAAATCTGGTTTAATGGAACCCAGCTTCGGGGAAGCCCCACTCCAGGCATCACTCCTCCTCCATGGGGTCGCCCCAGGAGGACCAGAAGACCTTGGCACAACAAGCCCAGAGACAGGCAGGGGTCTCCCAAAACACTCTTCATTCTAGGAATTTAATTTGCAAGAGGAAAAAGAGTTTCTGAACCAAGATCAGGTCCCAGATCTTCACTGGGTGCAGCTGAGGAGGGACGATGAAGCAGGGCAAGATGCATTCCTCCGAGCACAGCAAAACGGGCTGGAACCTCACAGAGTGCTCTTACCAGCCATACAAACACCACTCACAACATCCACCCATGGGCAGTAACGCCCACCTCTGCAGCTCGGGCTGGAAGCTTTTTATCCATGTTACAAACCACCCCCCTCGATATTCCCACATTTCACCTGTTCAGGACACAAGGCAGCCATACGGCCCCACTGCTCTGCCAGAAAATGGTGTTTGGGGTTCCCAGGGAGCCAGCCCAGCCTGGCCCCAGCCACCCCCTGGGATTTTCAGCATGGATCTCAAGGAAAACTCTGCCACGAGCAAAGAGAAACAGCTCAAAATGGGCTGAAAGGCAGGGCGAGGGTAGAGGTGGCACCGAAGCAGGTGCCTACCGGTGCCACCAAACCTTGTCCTCCATCCCACGAGCCCCAACCCCGTGCTGGGGGAAGCCTGGGACCCCCCCACGTCCCCACCCCGGCCCTCTACGTGCCGTCACCTGCTGATGATGATGGCTCCCTTGTAGAGCACGGAGACAGCAGGCATCTTGCTGGCGGCAGCAGCCCAGCCCGGCCGCCCCGATTTGGCAGGAATCCGTCAAAACGACGCGAAACGGGGAGGGCGGGGGTCACGTGGTCGCCCCGTATGCATGTTAATTCCACCCAACATTAACACAGATCAGCTAAAAACATCTCCAACTTTAGATTAAAGCTTATGCAAGCCAAGCAGAGCCAACGCTGCCCATCGCGAGCGCCTTCCTGAGCACAGGGGCAGCGAGCCGCCCCAGCCCCCCGCAGGGCTCCCCACACACAACTAAAACAATGGGATCGTTGTCTGGGTACCTCCTATTGTTCATCTTCTGGGAACATCCCCTCCAGGGATGAAAGGCAGCGATCAGCGCAGGACACGCATCCTTGGCATCCCTAAAGACTTAAAATCCCCGGCGAAGCTTTGGAAGCAATAACAGACTGTAGCACTCAGGGGTTTAGTTGCGTTTTTTGTTTTTTTCTTTTGCATCTTTTCCAGCCCACAGCATTTCCTGCTTAACGCGAGGCGAGTTGAGCTGTTCCGCTGGCCATCAGGAGGTCAGAAGCAGGACCTGCCCTTAAACAGCCTCTTCTGCCCCGTTTCCCCTTGTGCCCCCAGCCACAGCGGGGTGACCCCAGAGGTGGGACATGGGATCGAGTCCTCCTGGGCCATGAGCACCGGGTTGGGTGGGACAGCACACAGTCCCGCACCCTGGGACAGCCCAACTCCATTAATGGGGTCAAACCCACACTGCCCCACAGCATCTCTGCACGCTCCAGGCCACCCTCAGTTAATTGGACCAGACCTCGTTAACTGAACATCGGTGCACACCAGTCCAGCCCATCCAGTGGACCCGATACAGATGTGTTTGCTTAGGGCTGCAGACTCTGCCAGATGTTCATTTGGACCCGGTGCTTTGGATGTTGCTTCTCCCCCACACGAAGATGAATCTGATGGGCAGGAGCCCTCCCTGGGGCCGCGTGCTGCCTTGCCCAGGGTCAGGGAACTTGCAGAACAATAACCGTGAAAGGCTCTCCTGTGTTTTAATTGCTGTTTTACTTTTGTTTTTTAAATTACTTCCATCCTGGGGAGTTTATATGAAACATTAAAAATTCAGAGCAGACCTTCGGCTGCCAAAGCACTCCAGAAATCTCATTTCTTTATCCAAGTTTTGCTCTTGTAGTTGAAGGATGTCTACTGGCCACCAAACACAGCCACCTCTGGCGTTTGCTCACGGGCACCCCCCCAGGGCAAGGTGCTCACCCCACACCTGTGAAAAGGCTTCAGCCACAGGGACCAGGAGCAGAGGGGATGAAGCATGGCACTGCTTCCCAGTCTGCCCTAGGGCCAGGGACTGGGAGCCCCACTGGGCTGCCCAGTGATGCCCCCACATCACCCCTCAGACCTGGCCCAGGGTACAGAGCACCCAAAGGTGTGCTCCACAGGGGTCTCCTCGCACCCTGCTGCTCAGAAGGGCACCATCCCACCCATCCCACCAAGGTCCCCGTGCCTGTCTCTGACCCCAAAGCACTCGGCTTAGGAAGCCAGGTTTTGTGGCAGGGCAGACACGTGAATTCAGCTCCTTGCAGCACTGCCGCCCTGCATCCAGGCCTGTTCCCTGTCCGTGGGGAGCTGCCCCACACCTTAGGAGGTCTTTGGAGACTTCTCTAATGAATGAATTCACAGAATTAACCCCTTGGCTCACAGTCTGAACTGTCCCAAATCAATGCTGACGAGGCAAAGGGGTGGCACAGGGGGCAGTGCCTGCAGCGCTGAGCAGACCCCTGTGTGTGCACGTGTTTGGGGCTGGGATGCTCAGCAGCTTCACGACCAAATCCTTCAGCAGCCATCACCAGACCGCCCAGTGCCACCAGCAGCACCCAAAGCCACCCCACCTCCTTCCTGAAGCATCGCACCAGCTGGGCTGGGCACCGCAATGAGCTGCAGCCCGACCAGGGCTCAGTTTTATCTCCAAGCCCTCAGGCTCTCGCTTCCTCCAAAACAGGCTGGTGCTGGGAAAATCAGCAGACTCTGATGCTGCTCCTGCCGGTTAACATCTGTCCTATCTAGAGGAGAAGTCAGCCCTAAATCACAACAGAATAGCTTCAGAAGTTTTTTTAGTTTAAAGCTTTTGCTCCCATTCAGGAAAGATTTATAAGCCACGTGCAGTGTGCCCCAGGGTCCCGATCCTGCCCCATATCACTGGTGCTGAAGGCAAACACCCCGCTGGCAAAGGGGACGCACCACACACTCAAGCTCTTCCCTGGGTTCGGACCCAGCTGGGCATCCCAGAACAGCCCAGGCTTCTCATCCCAGGAAGAACTCACATTTCTCAGTAAGTGGGTGAATGGAAGGAGCACGAATTCGGTACAAACCAACATCGCAGGGCCAGACAGCCTATAAACGTGTGCTTAACGTCCACATTTTAGTCTCCTGCTAGAAAAAGTGAGTTTTGGTGGCATTGATTATTGCTATATAAAAGCTTTTTGCTAATAACAATAATAATAATATCCAAAGTTGAGTGAAGATACATCCATCAGCTCTAATTAACGCTTGCATGTAAAAGCAGGAGTGGCTGAAGCAGAGGGGAAGCAACATTAAGGCTTCCAGAGCAGAGCCACGAGACAAAAAACACCGAGGGCAAAACGCAGCACAAGTCAGGCATGTTCCTGAGGCATTTTTCTAACAGGTGACGATGGGGAGGGCTGGGGAGGAGCACAGGACACAGCCTCAGCTGCGAGAGCCCTGTCCCAGGTGGTGCCACCACCTCCTGCGGGGACAAGGACATGAAGGACGGGCTGGCTGCGCCCTGCACCTTCCCCACCGCCTCCAGCTCTCACACCTTCTCCAAGGCATCTGGGGAGAAAAAAAAAAAAAGAGGGGAGGAGGATCGCTGCACCGAGCACAATGATCAGCAGAAGCAGCTTGTCCTCATCATGCAAGCCTCTCTGTGCCCCTCCTGCCCAGACCACAAGAGAACAGCACCTACAGGGACCCAGCGCCTCTGGACTTCCAGGTTTTGATGCCACCAGCTCCTCGACTTTCAGGGCAGACCTTTTAGGGCCCTTCATGAAGGCAGGCTCTGCGGGAAGGATGCCCTCTCTCTTCTGCTTCTCTCCATCCTCGTTTTTCTTGACAGCACATTTTAAGTTTTAAAGTCCTTGGATTTTTTCCTAAATCCCAGTGATGTAACCCGCCCTGCCCCTGGCCCAGCAGCTTGCTGCCAGAGAGGAGCGAGCTGCCTCCAGGGCCTCCCTCTGCTGCCCGGGGCAGATCTCAGCCCTGTCACTGCAGAAAACACCATTAGGATCTGCAAGATGGAAGGGGTGGGTTGGGGATGTGACAAAACCAATGAGAATTTCTTTTCCATCTACTGGAAAATCATGAGCAGATGCCATCCCCTGCTGTGTGTTACCCACCTTTCCTCTGCAGTTTGAGGAGGACCTTCTGGAGCAGCAGCACATGGGCACTGAGCCCCTTCCACATTTCTCCCTTCTGCCTCCTCCCTTCCCAGCCCAGCGCGAGCACCAGGAGGATGCGAGGTGGCAGGAGGGGCAGAAGGGAGCAGGATGTGGGCAGTGGGACCCCAAACCTGGGCTGTAGCCACCCCATCCTGCAGCCAGGTCAGCCCGGGGACAGGACAAGGAGAGGGCACGAAGGTGCCAGACCTGGGGACAGGTCACCGAGCCAGCAGGGAGCCTCGCTGCAGGGCTTAGCAGAGGGACGGGATCCGAGCAGGTTTGTGTGGGTGGGAATTAAAGAGGTGGGAATTAAAGAGAGGCAGAAAGCTGTCCTTAAGCAGCAGCGAAGTCCGAGGGCTTCAGGAGGCAGCAGTAAGAAGGTCGGACATGGGAGAGGGCAGCCCGTGGTGGGATCCGCATCCCAGCAAGCCCAGGAGCCACCGTGGGAGCGAGGGATGCTCGGGCAGCTCCCCAGAGAGGTGCTATCAGGCTCTTGCTTAATGAAGATCCAACATTTGTTTCATGACAAAACAACATTAGCGTGGGCTGAAGAGGAGCTTGCATCTGATTAGACAACAACCACGTTGCTTACAGGATCGGCTACAAAGTGGTGATAACAAATCAAACAAAAAGAGATAATCAGCTGCTGTAAAGTTGAGAAGCAATCGCACGCTGCCCACCGTCACAGCATCGCCCACGCCATTTCCATAAATACTGCCCCTGGAGCTGTTTTGAGCAAACTCAAAGAAATCGGGGATGTTCACAGGCAAGCCTGAACAGAAACACGCTGCCGAAGTTACTGGTGGAGAAGCGCCCAACCTCCCCAGCTGCAAGCAGCCCCCGGAGCTGGGTGCCCCCCCCGGAGCTGGGTGCCCCCCCTGGAGCTGGGTGCCCCCCCCGGAGCTGGGTGCCCCCCCGCCACCCAAGGCAGGAGCCTCCCCGCTGGGTGCCCGGCTCGGCCCCAAGCAGTCCAAGATCCAGCCAGCAGCTAAAAACCCCAGTGCTCTGAACCAGCAGACTGGGAGGAAGCTGGGGGTGCTTTGGGAGCTGCAGCGTTCCACCAAGACATGCTTGTGACCAAAAGGGTGAAGAATTTCCCCAATGGCAGGGCTCACACGGGTCCATGCAGTGTCCCAGCCGGGGCTGTGGTGCCCCCATGGCACACCGGGAGGGCAGTGACAGGTCCCAGTGCCCCAGGGACCTGCAGCCCCCTGTGAGGCACCACACAGCCCCCAGCCACCCACCAGCACTGGGAGGATGCTGTAGGGCTGCTGCCAGCTCGGCGTGGTGACGCAGCTCCCCAGGCCCAGGTTTCACACCAACCTCCCCATCCCATTGCCCGGCTGACCCCAGGGCTCCTCCATCCCCTGCCCCAGGGCACAGGGCAGGGAGGGGGTCCCGGGGGGCTTGCCCAGCCCAGTGGTGCTGGGTCACCTGAACTCCCCTGAACTTCACCCCACTCGTCCGCACCCTTCTTGGCCAGCGGGTTTCTTTTCAGCACGGGGAACTCATCTCGGTGAGCTCTCCCTGATGTTCCCCTCTATGGGCAGGGGCTTCCAGAGGGATTTGGCCCCACCTGAAGACAAGCAGCGAGGCAGTGCAGGTGGGGCATTTTGGGGGGATGCTCCTCTCCCCAGCACGTGCCCACAGGTCCCCTGCCAGGCACCACCAGGACAGACCCTGCGCTTGGCTCCAGCTGACGAGGAGAACATCCCCGGGGCTCCCACCCAGGGGTTGTTTGCAGGCTTGAAGAGGCCAGAAGGCCTTGATCACGGGCCGAGCTCCCCCCATGGCCATGCAGCTCGCCCCGTGCTGCTTCAAAGCGCTTCGGTGGAGGGAAGGGCAAAAAGGTCTCTCTAATTACCACGTCCTGCAGCAATTAGGGAGAGGCCGTTCCAGGCAGCAGCCAGGTCCCGCCTGGTCTGGCGAAGCTTCCTGGGGAAGGTGTTTGTGTCGGGGCCTCCCAGCACCTGCCCCAGCCCCCAGGCACCGGCCGGCCAGTGGGATGCGTGCCACGAGGCTGCAAGGAGCTCACCCCGCTGTCCCTGCAGCAGGCGTGGCGGGGGCACCCTGCCTGCCTTCCTCTTCCTCACCACCATGGGACAAGGACGTGCTGCTGCCCTGGATGGGAGCACGGGGATTTGTGCTGCAAAGCACAGCCTGGGCTTGAGGAACATCTCATTCACCACCCCAAACCCACACGCTCACGGGATGCCCTGCTGCATCTCAACACACTGAATTTCATCAGAGGAGGAGAAAAAACCCCAAGGTTTGCCCAAGCTTCAGCTGGAAGGCAAAGCAGAGGCCAGCGGGAACCCTTCAGCCACTCTACTACAGGCGAACGGGACCTGCAAAGGGTTAACGGGATTATGAGCCTCCCTGCCTTGCTAAATCCCCTCGGTCATAGGATTGGACTGGTTGTAAACTTATTAGCAGGGGAAGGATGCTGGTGGCCGAGCGGAGCGGGTGGTGGAGCATTGCCACCCCCCCACCCCCGGTGCAGAGGAGAGGGGAATGAATTGGGGAAGGACGGCTGGAAACCAGCCTGAGGGAACCCCAACGCACCCCCAAGACAGGAGAGAGAAATAAAGAGGGGAGGGGAGCAGCTGGCTGCTGAGAGATGGGAAAGCAAAGCCTTTGGGGAGAGATTCCCTGTGCGGGTCATGCCACCGAGCCTGGACTGCAGCAGATGCTGAAGGAGATGCGGCCCTGGCAGCTCCCTGCTGCCAACAGCAGCTTGCAGAGGGCTTGGCTGCATCCTCAAGCATCCCCGTGGTCAAACACAAAGCCTGATCCTGCACAAAACACCTTCAGCAGGGCTTGCTTACAGCCCCTCGCATCCCCTGGAGGAACAAAGAGAGGTGGGAGATGCCGGCAGCATCGGCACCAGGTCAGGGAGCTGAGAGAGGAGCTGCCGGGGCCGCCACCGCGCCGGCTGACGTCCCCCCACCACACCATGTGTATCAAATCCCTATTCCAAACTCCGCAAAATTAATCTTTTAATCAGCGGCCATATTTATCGGTGGGCTGGGGAGGTGTTATCTCCCCGCCATCTGCTCGCTGCAGAGCCCGACAGCCCAGCCCCGGCCCCACGCACAGCTCCCCATGGCCAGGGGGCACGAAGCTGGGGAAGGTTTGGACCCAGACCCCAATGAGTGAGCAGATTTCTCATGGAGAAGACAGCTTTTGATTGGAGAAAAATAATAATAATAATAATTTTGATCTTGATGGGCAGCCCCACAGAGCCTGGGGGTGCTGTGGGACAGGGGAGCTGTGCTGCCCCAAGCTCCCCACCCCACTGCAGCCCCACTGCCTCTGAACCCAGGGGTGGCACCAAGCCGGCAGCGCTCCCCCAGACTCACCCCGCAAGGTCAAGCCCGTCCCGTGTTACCACCTTCCATCCAGCAACGGATTCTGCCTTTTCTACACCCAAAAGCAGCAGGGAAGCGTCAGGTCCCGCACGGTGCCCCAGGGAGCCTCATGGGGGACAAGGAGCCATCACCCCAAGGCGCTGCCCTCACCAGCCCACCCACATCCCCCACGGGGTGCTGCCACCCCACGCACCCCCCAGCACCCCTCATCCCTCACCTCAATAACCTCCTTCAGCCAGAGACAGCTCGTGCCCCAGAAACATCCCCGGTCCCAGCTGCCTGCAGGCTCTCCATCCCCACGGGGGACGCTGGGGCTCGGCCAGCCCGAGAAGCCTCCACGGGAGCTCGGGGTGGCCCCAAGAGCCCAGCGAGTCCCTGCTGGTCTGGATCCGGCCCACTGACCCCCCAGTTAATCGGCTAAAGCCGCTCGCTCTGAACCCTGGCCCTGGCTGCGGCGGCGCTCCCGCCGGCTCCCGCCTGCCCTACATAGACATCTGCAGCCGCCAGCTCCCGGCCCCCGCACCCAGCCCAGCACCAGGCTCAGATCCTGCTCCTGCCGCCTGCCCGGAGCCCCTGCCCCTTTTCCTGGGGGGCTGGAGGGGGAGCACTGCAGCTCTGCCCCCTCCACACAACATTTGGGGCTGTCGCTGCCACCCCCAGCCCTGCCCTGCCCGTGCCACCGGTGCTGACCTGCCCCACGGGACGGGCGCGCTCCCTCCGAGCCCGGCACCACAGGTACAGAGAGGAAGAATCTGGATGGGAAACCGCAGTGCTGGGGCTGCAACACGAGCAAGAGCATCCACAGGCAGCCCTGGGTGCTCCCCCCCAGCTGCTGCATGCAAAATAAATCCCCTCCCTGCCCTCACCTGGTGCCAGCCTCACCTGGTGCTGGCTGCTGGGTGCCCAGGGGCAGCATCACCCCTGGGTACTGAGGCTCTGGTCCTGCCCTAGCCCCATGGCTTCAGGATCCCCCCGCAACCCTCTGCCCTGCGGAGAGGGGCTCCCTCCACCTAAATAAATTGAATGAAACCCTAAAAAGCCACGAGGTCGCCGAGCGCATCCCTGCGTGGGCTTAACGCCGCTCCCTAAGCCCAGTGAGCCAACCAGCATGGCCCAGTGCTTACCAGTAGATGAGGGAAAGCCCATCGAAGCGCTCCGGGTCGCGGCCAGGGGGCTGCAGGTAGGACATCATCCGGGGCCCTAGGGCTGCCGCTGCCGGCCCCCGTTCCCCGGGGCCATGGGCTCAGAGCGCGGGCGGCCGGGTGCTCGGCGCGGCTCCCAGCTGCCGCCGGCCACATCTAATCCCAGCGGGCAGCCATGTGATCGCCCCTCTGCCTGCTCCCCCCTGCTAAACCCCGCTGATGCCTCTCACTCCCCTGCCCACGGCGGCTGCTGCTGCTGCTGCCAGCAGCTCCGAGCCCCCCCGAGGGGTCCCCAGGGGCTGAGGTGCTCAGTGTGGCATTGGGTGGCACGGCATGGCATGGGGTGGCACGGCATGGGGTGGCACAGCATGGCACGGCACGGCGAGCATCTCCACGAGCAGCAGAAGCACAGGACCCCTGCGCTGCAGAAGCCATGCAGGATGCATTTTGCTGCCCCCCCCCCCCAGCTCGCTGCCCCCTTTGCTGCTCGCTGGGCCGCGCAGTCGTTGTAATTTCACTGCTGGCACCCGGTGTTTCACACGGTGCTCAGCGCGCCGAGCGCCTGAAAGCCGATTGTCGGCGTCCCTGAGCTGCACGAGGGCTGGGCAGATGTGTGCACCCAGCACCTCCTTCCAAACTGCCAAAAAACTAAATAAATAACAATACCTATGTTATTCGGGGCACAACTGTTGCGTGTTTTGTCCCTCCGTTAAAGGTTGTTGGGTTGTAACTGAGGAAGCAAACACCCGGGGACTGGAAGGAAGAGGCAGAGAAGCCCCAGATGAGGCTCCCCGTGCCGTCTGGTGCTCGTGCAGATATTTTGCTCCTCTCTCTCCAGCGGGGAGGTGCAGCCAGCCCAGCCCAGGGCAGCGTGGGCCTGGGACCTGGCGAGTCCTGGGGCTGGGAAACGCGGCTGCTGGGCCCTGGGGACAGCCTGCGGGTGCTGCTCTCGGGCGCTATCGAAGCAGCCCGGAAGAAGACGGTGAATTAAAGGCTTGTCCCGCTCAGCATCCTTTTCGGGTGACTGTGCAGGATGTGCCCGAGCCAAAAGCTTTCTTGCCTGACAGCTCCCGGCTCGGGGACAGGTGCCCTGGCAGGGCGCATCCCCCGCCCAGGACAGCCGCCACCGCCGGGGCTTTGTCACCGTGCACCCGCGTGGGCGGGAGGCCGGTGGGGTGCCCTGGGTTACACCCACAGGGGAAACCTCCCCGAAGTTTCTGGGTGAGAGGCGCCACGCCTGGCACCGAAATGTGCCCGGTGCCCTGCGTCCCTGCCCGGCAGGCAGTGTCCCCAGCGGGACGTGGTGTCACCCTGACACTGGCCCTGCTGCCCCCCTCCACTGCTCCCCAGATCCTGCAGCCAGGAGATGGAGGGAGAAGCTTTTGGTAAAAAATAAAAATTAAAAAAAAAAATGCCAGTCCATGAGAAGTTCAAAGAACTGTCTTCTTCTGGGCTGCTCACTGCCAACCCAACCTGGCAATGCTTAAAACCTGCCCTGGGATTTTCCACCCTGCCCAGGGCCATCCCTCTGCAACACTTCCCCAGGCTGGCAAGGACATCCTGGGGACAGTCCCGTGCACTGGCCGGGACATCCCAGGGACAGTCCCCTTCCCACCAGCCAAGTCGGGCTTTGCTCCAAGCCTCACGCAGCCCCACATGCAGCGGGCAGACAGATGGACGCTGACCCTACAAACCAGTATGGGGAGCGGTGGGCACCCAGGGAACAGCCGTGCCACCATCGGGGTTCGCTTGAGGTCCTCGACCTCCCCAGCCCGGGGACCCCAGGCGGGGCGTGGGGTGAGCAGCCGCTCCCAGGGCTGTCGCAATTTGGGGCCGGGCGGTGCCGGGCATGCTCCCCGGGACCGGTTCCTGCAGCTGGGAGGGGATGGGCGATGGCAGCAGGGTTTGCCGAAACCGCTCGGAGCGCGGTTCGGCGGGCGGGCGCAGCGGGTGTCGGGGTGCTGCGGCCGCTCGGGGCCGGGCTGGCCTCCCCAACTCGCCCGTCGGGATTGTCAAAGGCAGCGTCACCCCCCTGTGACAGCACCCAGAGCCCGTTGGGACAGTGACGCCACCAAGGTCCTGCCCCGGTGCCAGTGGTCCAAGGCACCCAGTGTCCTGGGGCAGCACCTCCACCTGCCTCCTCGCAGGGTGCCCGCAGGGGTGCCCCAGGGATGCACCCCACCCACACCCCCCCAAAACGTGCCGGGGAGCAAGGTGCTGCCCTGCCCCGTCCACCCAGCGCTTCCTCGGTGGCGGAAGCTGAGCATTATCTCCCTCGCCCATCAGAGGCAGCTGCTCGTGGGTGCACCCTGTGTGCACAGATGCAAACGTTACGCCCCGGAAATTCCCGGCTTTTACATTCAAGGCCTGACCTTTCCAGCATCTTCTGCAGGGCTCAGAGGCACAGGGCTCATCCCCTGGGGTCCGGGGCTGCAGCACCACACAGAGGGGACACGAGGGTCCCCACACACGGAGTCATTTCCCCTCTCTCCCCCCCATCCCCATGCATCCCCCTCTGAGGCCACAACCCAGTGCAGAAGCCCCCAGCCCCTCCTCAGAGCCCGCTTGGTGCCTGGCACGGGTGGCACCGGCACCCTCTGGTCCCCCTGCACCCAAATCCACCCCCCCAGTGTGCTCGGGTGACAAGGTGGGTCCCTTGCTCCTTTCCGAGAGGGCGAGGAAGAGACGAATTTAATTTATTCCCTGCTGCATTTTCAAGCCAAATGAGTCAGAGCCGCAGCTACACACGCTGCTTTGTTTTTCTTGGCCGATAGCATTTGCTTTTGATTCATGTTTGTTCAATATTTAACTCTCGTGGTGACACTTGGGCTCACACCAGAAAAAGCCAGGTCCCAGCACCACCCACGCTGCCAGGGCAGGAGCTCTGCTTCACACGGGAGCGATGCACTTGTTTCGTTTCATTTGCTTCTTGCAGCTTGGTAAATCCCCGAGCTTGCTCCTGCGGGCACCACAGCAGCTCGGGGCCGTGAGCACCACGGGAGGCTCAGAGCAGCGGGGCTGTGGAGAGATTTCGGACCAAAAGCAGCCTCCAAGGGGGCTGAGCGAGGTTTCGCCCCGTGCTGGGCCAGTGAGGAACGGGACCGGCCGCATTCCTGCCCAGGTGGGAGCCGGCAGGAGGGAGCAGCAGCACGGAGGTGTCCCGGTGCCCTGCAACCCCGCACGGGAACTCCCTGCAACCCCACAGACACAAAATGGCTCAGCTGGCTCCTCCGAGCAGGGTTGTCAAAAATTTCCACCCAGAAAATAAACGAGGTTTTTGGCTGATCCAAATTTTTGTTTTGTTCCACCGAGTGCCTCAGCTTTTGGAAGAAATTTCCGAATATTTTGGCCCCTACCTCCTCATCCTAACTGAAGTCCTTCAGCCTCGGAGAAAACTGCATTGGGAAACACCACCAAAAAGCCCCCCAGGGCTGAGCACCTCTATGGGGGTGCTGGGTCCCCGAAATGCCTCAGCACCACAGGACGTGCTGGGGCCACAGAGACTTTTGGGGTGCACGGGGAGGGAGAAGCCACTGCCACGATGCTTCGCTGCTGTCCTGAACCCCCTGAGACCCAATCCTTTCCCAAATTACCCACGGGTGTGCTTGCATGGCATGGGGCAGGACGGGGTGAAATGGGCAGGGGACCAGACAGAGGCAGCCAGGAGCCGCCTGTCCCAGCCAAGCCCCACTTTCGGGGGGCTGGTGCCCACCCCGCACCCTCATCCAGGGCTGGTGGTGCCGGGCACGGCGCAGGGTGGAGAGGCGAGGGCTCGGCAGGGCGTGGGAGCTGCTCCGGAAAAGGGCTTGCCAAAAAATGCAATCGCATTGCACAAAACGTGCTCCTCTCCCGCTCCCCTCCCGCGGCGGTGGCTCAGGAGCTTCTCACCCCGGTTAAATCGATAGTGCCACGCCGCTGCCCCCACCGCGGCGCTCGGAGCGAGTCTCAACCCGCCCCGCGGCACAGCAGGGACCAAGCCCTGTCCCCAGCTCCTCGATGCTCGAGGGGCTTTGGGGGATTTTCCTTTTTCTGCCTTTTGCTCTCACCAGGACCCTGGGGCACTCCAAAGCCTTCCTGAGCGTGAGCACACCCCCGGTGCCCCTCTTTGGCACCACCAGCTCCAATTTTGTCCTACTGGTGTCACCTACACCTAACACTGGGAGCTGGTGGGGCACGGGGCTCAGCGGGGAGCAGTGCATCAGCCGAGCAGCAGAAGGGCTCGTTAGCAAAATGAACGCTGCGTTTTGGTGGGCAAAAAGCCTCAGGGGGATGAAACCTTGGCACGGGGGGTGCTGTGCTTGGGCAGCCCGTGCTGCGCCTGGCACCATCCGGAGGCAGCGTGCAGCGGGCACGGCAGCGGGCACGTTGTGTGTCCCGGCTGGCAGAGCTCAGTCCAAAGCATCCAAAAAGCTTGCTGGAGCTGCTGCACCCCAAACCGTGGGTCTCACGTGAAGCTCAGCTCTGCCAGGCCCAGGTGAGCGGTGCAGGCGGAGGGCAGAGCAGTGGGCTGGGAGCCCGTCCCCCCCACGCGCCGTGCGGTGCGGCTTTGTGCAGCACCTCTGATCCCGAGCCAGCAGCGAGGCAAAACACTGGGGCAGTTTACACAAGCCCCAGCTTTCCACTCCGGCGGAGTTTCTCGCCGCCCGCCGTTTCACCGAGCAG